ATCCTGACACATTTTCCGAGTTTCAAGAAATTTGCAAAGAAGATACGTTTTGCGAAAACAGTTGTTTACACTCAATTGATATTCTGGTGCTCTTTCCACCAACTGTTTGTACTTAATTCTGTTGTGCAGCCGGGGCAAATAAATCTATACCCGTTTAGATGACAAATAAATTTGAGAGAATCAACCCTAAACTCATTGCGACAAGCCGTTTACGGTGATTTCTTAAAAAATGAAGCATGTAATTTAAAAGAGGTGTATTTTTCTCACATGCAAAAATTTGCCAACATTGTAGTAATTACGAAAAAGTCAAAGCCTTGAGGTCCTTTCGGGGAAATGTTTGTTTCAATTAGTTTGCAAGTTCGCAATCATGCTATCAAAAATATGATTTTAACCTTTTTTACGAGCTATATATATAACGGCTCTGAAACTTTTCGGTCTGTAGTAATAGAACAAACGGGGTTCTTCAAAAGAGACCTGTTAAAAAAAAAGATAAAACGGTGCGTAAAAGCTGGCAAACTCGATAAATCCCTTTTTGCTAGAATCATCTCGGTGGGAGTTTCATGTAGTTACCATTCGCGTGATAGGTTGCTAGTGTATAGTTACCATACGCGTTAAGCGAGTTACCAAACGTGTTAAGCGAGTTACCAAACGCGGTAAACGAGTTACCAAACACGTTGAAATCGTTACCGTACGCGTTATAGTGCCCCATGTAAGTTACCATTGACATATTTTCTCTTCTTTCCCTGACCCATGACACCACTACAGTACCATCCCCATCGACCTCGCTCCCGTACGCCCCTTGATTCCCGCCCGTGTTGACTTGCGTTGAGTAAGTCAGCCCTCGCGCTTGCCCCAGATACTGTTAACTGTACCACAGCACCACCAACCAACCAACGACAAGCCAGCCAAGTCGATTCATCTTTCATTGACGGGAAACGCCAACGGGAATTTTAGGGCGTGTAACCATTTTGATTTTTGGGGATGATCCGGACCGTCCGTATATTTATAACGGACTGTCCTAATATCGAAAGTCGGACCGTCCGATGTGACGTTTCGGAACCTTGCCACCGTCCGGAGAAAAACATGACACTTTTTGCTAGCACTCCGACTTCGCGACTACTGTAGTCTCGCGCAGTTCCCGCGACAATCGTAACCAAATACATAAGCTGTCGCAAGAGATATTCGTTTGCCATTTACTGCGCAGGTTTGCAGTGTGAAATTCGCACGCCAATCCCTGCGCAGAACTGGCGGACCGTCCGTTGGGTTTCGGACCGTCCGAAATGCACATTTCGGACCGTTGGAAACGTGAAAAAAGTGTCATGACGGTTCGCAATGTTGGCGACGTCGCAAGGGGTTTCGCGAAAACATATTCGAAATAAGGCGACTTTGGTAACTTGTCGCTAACTCGGACGGTCCACATTTCGGACCGTCCGGAACAAAAATAGGCAAAATGGTTACACGCTCTTATTGGTCTGCGGGGAGATGACTTGCATACATCCTGTACTGTGTTGGATTGAAGGGGGGGGGGGGGGGGGGGGGGGGGGGGGGGGGGGAGAGAATGCGGTGGTGGTAAGGGTGAGCCTTGGTGATATGGGTTTCAGGTGGATAATGTGAGGTGGTGATGGGTAATAGTGGGTGATGGCGAGGTGGTGGAGGTGGGATGTGAAGCACCAGAAGTATTGGAATAGATAAGGTTCGAGGAATATAAGTACTATGCGTCTATACCTAATCTTGCCGCGACAGAAAAAGTGTCTGCTGTGTTGGAGTATCAAATTTCAGAGGCGACTTCGGCGCTTTGGATGCTTGGTTTGGTCACGTGACAAAATTCAACCCTGCAGTACTGCTGCCAGCTTGGTGTGAACGCGGCGTGCGCGAAGGGTGTGAACTGCATACAAGAACAGGGCACTCAGATGCCATCACCTAGTGTTCCGGACACGGAATGAGGTCGACCTCCAGAACAGTTCCAAGGCGCGTCGTCAGCGTTGTCCTTCTCGTTATTTGTCTTGCTCGCGATGCTATGGCTGCGCCGCGTGCCAAGATCGCGCCAGGAAGAAGAGAGCTGAACGGCGCGAACAGGGCCATTCAAAAAGCTCGTAAATTCAACGTTTTTCTGATTCATATGAAGAAAACAAGTAAGCATACTTTGCTTGTTTCGCGAATTCCCCCCATCAATAATCCCCCTCACCCTTTGTCCCCTCCCTTCCCCTCTCTCCCATAATCTCTCCCACCCCTTTTGCATCCCTTTTCTCACCGCTTGTCCCCTCCTCCCAGATTTGGATACGTTCATTGGCAGATACGCGGACCGACAGCCACTCACCTTTCTGATGCCTCGCGACGAAGCGTTCTCTGCGCTTCCAACCAAAATCCGTTCTCAGTTAACGGGCAAGAAGCTGGTGCAGCTCTTGCAATACCATATGCTTATGGAAAAGTGGGGGATCGTCTTTCTTTCTAACCCAACTTATTTAAAGTTGTTAAGGTCCTACCGTACAGTACTTGGAGTGTACATCCATGTTCTTCCAAATTTTGTGAACCGGGTGGTGAAGGTGAGTCCCGTCGGGTATGTCACTGCGGGTACAGGACACATCACTTCAGGTGACATTGGTGGACAAGACACCTTCCTTCGGTTTGCTTGCCATGGGATTGACAAAGTTATAATCCCTGCTGGGGTTTTCAACTGATCAATGTGATCATCAGCAGTTGTGTATGGTATAGAAATAGCCACTACTACCATAGTTTCTGTTCATCCTGTTGACTGTAACATACTAGATTGTCAGGCAGGGCAGTCTATACAGTTAGGAGAATGCATTGATAGATGGCACTCACATTATTTCACTATCTCCAACAATCCCTAGGCTATAGCTTATGCTGGTCAGGTCATGTCCACGCTGAGCTGATCACCCCCTTCTGTTAGCGCCAGTCTTCTTTTTACAAAAAAGTGGCCTTGTTGAGAATGTGCTTTAGCATGGCAGCATCACATTGCTCACTGAATGGACGTTAGTGGCACTTCTTGCAGACAACGAAAATGTCAAAATGGTTGTAAAACTTGTAGACCCCTTCAACACGAGCTGAACCTTTCCAGGAATTGTTGAGTTGCGCTTCTCTAGGGCAACACCAGCAAGTGTCTGGTATTCTGTACCCAAAGGATCTTGCTGAAGCTTAGCAGCGGTGGCCTTACGAGTAAGGATGTGTAGCTGCAATGTCTTCGTCAAAAAGGCGGGATCTTTTCTGATCCTTGTCTGAGGGAAGAATCGCCTCAACATACGGTAGGTACGGGAAGGAAACGAGAGATTGAGGTTTTGCGATTCCTAAGCAACTCACTGCATTGAAGTCGCTCAGTTGGGCGAAACCCTGATCCACAGGAGCGAGGATTGTGATGCCAGTCTCGGTCGTCGAAAGCAGCTTGGACAACGAGCTTATTCCTGCACATGACAGAAGGACTTGAAATCATGCTAGCACATAAACAGACAGAAGAAGTGCAGTCGCCCGCGAGTGGAGCGGACCTGCAAGTCGCAAATAAGCCAGAAAGTTCCAATGCCTATCAGTCTTCTGTAGCTTAGACCAAACGTAGCTAAACTCCTGATTTCCATCCCTAAGCTTCTGGTCCTGAAGGGAAAACTGGATGGTCGCGAGTAGGAGGAAAATTACCAACAGCCCTCTTGCCATCTCTTTCTACCTCTGGAGAAGACTCAGCCTGCTTCTCGGAACAAATCTTCGCGAAGCGGTAGAATGGTGGCTGTACTGGGGATAGCAACTTCAGCAGGATGGAAAACATCCAGAATGTCTCGTCTGACAAAGAAATGGATTGAAAGCCTCCACTGAATGGATCGGAACAAAAGCTGCCTTTTCGCTTGCGTTTTCAAAGCGGGTTCTATTTGATTCAGTGGATGGAACGCAAGGGCTTCTCTTATGAACCGCATGTTTCAGGTCCTGTCCCATCCGACCCACTACTGGAAATGAAATGCGTTAGACTCGCGAGCTGTTTGGTTTCATTTGCTAGTAGGGTTACATGGGTCGGACGTCGAATACATGTGGAGGACGATTTTTAGGAACAGGGCCTAGAGTTTCGTTCCAACTCTCAACCATTCCCTTTCTTTCCTCCAAGCTGCTCATCAAAGCATTTCACAAAATCATTTTCCTGACCTATCAAGCACCGACAAACATCTCCGTTAGCTGCTTATACTGCTCGTCCATTTTCCACGTTTGTGATGTCTAAGGAGAACAAAAAAAACTTCCTTTGTTATATTCGACCCCTCTAGTTGCGTCATCGTCGCCTAGTATGAAGTCTACGCTGCAATGTTATCGTGTTCCATCGTCATCATTCCGCACTCCGCGACTTCAAACAGCTCTTATGTTCCGCTGTCAGTGTAAGCGGAGTGGTTTCATCCGTCACTTCTGGCTACTTTTACTCACTGCAGCCATATCCATCGCCTTCTCCTCCACCCTCCCTTTCACTCCCGTTTCCGCCTCCAAGTCTGAACTCAACTCTCTCCGTTTCGGCCGGAAGCCCTTGCACCAGCGTTCTCTGCATCAGCTTTCCGTTAACACACCTTCAAGAGCATGCTTTCACACTGTAGAAGGACGCACCCTTATCGCGGATGACCAGGGTTACCTGTGCAATTGGACTGACCTAAATTTCAGCACAGGTTGCTGTCCGTATGCTAGCGAGGGAGTATCAGATGCCGGAGGAAGTTTGAAAGAAACCGAGCTTCCCTCTCATGATGGACGAGCCGGATCAGGAACGGAGATTCTACAGATGATGAGATTTTCTTGTCAGTCTTGTAACGTTACTGACCAGTGTTGCGAAGTCTACGAACAGTGTGTAACCTGCTGTCAAGATCCTGATCGTACTCCGCCTCGATTGGCCACAATTATCTCCACTGCTGCTCAACCATCAGCTGGACGTTTCTCATCAGTCTTTGAATTCTGCCGCCACCGCTGCCGGCACAACTCTAAGAGCGTGGTTCATGAAAACGCTTACATAAGTGACAGACACCACTGCTATGGCCTGCCAGTTGAAGTACAAGCAGCGGCTGATGCAGCAGCAAGCGCAGCAGCTGCTGCGGCTGCAGCCAAGAGGAAATCCAGAGATGGTGACCTTAGTAGCGCCAGTGGTGAGGGGACAAAGGATGAAAATACATTGGGGAGCAATCTTTCAGCCGCAGCTGGAGGCAGTATACTAGCAGCTAGTGAAGAGCCGAGGAGAAGCAGTGGTGATGCGGCTGCTGCTGGTGCCTCTGGTGATGCTGGTGCTGCTGTTGGTGCTGTCAATAGTGGTGGTGATGGTGCTGTTGGTGAGGGGAGTTTCCGTCAAGGCCTGGAGGACGTGGAATTGAAAATGGAGATAGGGAAGCCGGGCCAATCCTGTGATGACGTGTGTGCTGAGCGAAGCTTGAAGGTAATCTGCTGTCTTAGATGCTCTGTCTTAGATGCTTGGCTTCATGCCTGTTCGCTTGTAATTCATCATCCTTGTTATAAATTCCTTTCCTCGGTCATAGTAATAGAAATATTACTTTCCCCTGTTAGAGGCATAATGTGCCCTTCCCTTCACCCTTGCCTTCACCCTTTCCTCCAGGCTACCTGTGCCTGCACTGTGCCAGTCTGTTTTTAAACAATCTCATGTCCTTTTCCCATGCATCTTACCAATATCCCCTCCTCCCTTCCCCCCCCAAGCTTGTGTCCCCACGTAGACTTTCCTATAGCTTGTCAGACCAATCTCTTCCTGTGCACTGTTTTCCACCCAAAACATTCCTGTCGTTTGCTTCCATATTCGTTTTCACAGCATGTGCCCATAATGTTTGTATTGACCATTCTTCCTTGCAGTGTCAGGCCGACCTTCTCCCCCGCATCAACAACTGTCCTCTGCTCCGTCATTTCTTTCCCTGCACGCCTGGCTGCTTCGCGTCAATGGGAGCAGAGCAGCCCACAGAGGTGGTAGAAGCACCACTGGATATAGCCTCTTATACACCACAGCACATACACCTGTTGGAGAATCCTTCTAGACAAAATCCGCAGCAGAGGAGAATGCTGCAAGACCTCAGGGGTTATTCTAGACAGGGTCAGGTATATCAGCATGAGCAACAGCATGAGCAGCAGCAGCATCATCATCAACAGCAGAGGTCTCAGGCTCAGTTCCTGCCTCGCACATGTCTAGTAAGCCTGGACCCAAATATGCCCTCCTGTGAGGGAAGCCACCCAGACATGCGCAGGCTGTGCCCCTGTAGCTTGGTGCGTTCTTGATGCGATAGGTGTTTATCTTGATGTTATCTTGATGTGATAGGTGTTCCTGAATGCAGGGAGGTCAGCGGGGAGGTCCTGCGGTTGGTTGCAATACTGCATCACAGAAGCGCCAGTTTCTGCTATACCCCCTCCGCATGATGATGACTTTCTGCAACGCAAGTCGTCAGTCTTGCCGCTAGTCCTTGCGGCGCTTGCGTACTGTAGTTGCTTCAATATGTTTCAGAAAGGATTCCAGTACTCGTGCAGCCCCGGCTGGGAATCCAGCGTGCTTTATGGTCGAGCACAAGGAATGCAAGCAGCACTTACCGGTACCAGTCTTCAGCTGAAATGCTTCGAGAGATTGTGCTTGACTCGAATTCTGCAGTGAATAGAACGATGGGTGCAACAATATTGCGATTTTCCTGGATGCCTTGGTACCTGGAACGAAGTGTGAGAGAGCCGTTTGTTGCGAGGGAGCCATTTGTTGCTTGCGGCCGATTTTCATGGCACGAGAGCTCCCGCACCTGAAATTCCACACCGAAGGAGCTCGTTCAAGTCGACTTATTTCGTACTATCGGCGGTGGTTCTTTGTAATCTGCACATTAGTGTTGAAATATATATGTAAACTGCCTGTAGCTGTAGTGTAGTGTAGTTATTATAACCTATTGGTGGTGCACCTTCTTTGCATGCTTTGTTTGCTATTTGTACCTCGCTCAATCGTTAACTCATCCTCTTTGGCTAAACTCTCCCGTCTCTGGTCCTCCGCTTCCTCCTCCTGACCCCTCTCCCGCTGTTTTCCCTCGTTCTCAGTCTTCGTTGTCCCCTCCTCCTTCTCAGACTTGGGCCTCTCGTCGCTCCCCTCGTGCTCGTCCCTCGTCTCCTGTTCCCTTCACTGACCTTCGTACTGCCTTACTTCGTTCTAGTCCACCTCGTCCGTCTCCGTCTGTGCTTCCGTCTCCTCCTGAGTCGGCTCTCACTGCGTCGCTCCCTACTCCTGTCACTGACTACTACCGCACGTACCGTCCTCTTCTCTCTCGTGTTCTCGCCTCGCTTGTTACTCACCCTCGTGCCTCTGTGTCCTCTGTGTCCGCTCTTACTGCCGCAGTCACTGACTTTGCCTCTACCCGCCGCCTTGACTTCGCCACCGCTCTTGTGGCTGCTCCTCCTTCCAGTCCTCTGGCCGTCGGGGGTGTGTCTGCCCTTGGCTGTGACGCCCTAGAGGACAGGCAGTTTGAGCTAGAGTTCCTGGCGGCCGCTTCCCCTCATCTCTGTGCCATGCTCCTCGCCCCTGAGGGTGACCCCGACGCCCTTGACATTCCGACTCCTCGCACTTACGCTGAGGCAGTGTCAGGGCCTTGGGCCTCTCAGTGGAGAGCTGCCATGGACGCAGAGATGGCCTCCTACAGATCCACAGGCACCTACGTCGATGAGGTTCCCCCTCCGGGGGCGAACGTAGTCGACGGCATGTGGATCTACAGGGTGAAGCGGCCACCGGGATCTCCTCCGGTCTTCAAGGCACGCTACGTGGCTAGAGGTTTCAGTCAGCGCGAGGGAGTTGACTTCTTTCAGACCTTCGCGCCCACCCCGAAGATGACCACTCTTCGGGTGTTACTACACGTAGCAGCACAGAGAGACTACGAGTTACACTCTCTCGACTTCTCTACTGCTTTCCTTCAGGGCAGTCTTCACGAGGAGGTCTGGTTGCGTCGTCCCTCTGCCTTCACTGGCTCTTTCCCTCCTGGGACCCAGTGGAGGCTGAGGCGACCGGTTTACGGTCTTCGTCAGGCTCCTCGTGAGTGGCACGACACCCTGCGTTCTACCCTGTCTGACCTTGGGTTCCAGCCGTCTTCTGCTGACCCGTCGCTGTTCGTTCGTCGTGGCCCCACACCTTTCTTTGTTCTGGTCTACGTTGACGACCTTGTTTTCGCCACCCCTGACAGGGTTGCTTTGGCACACGTGAAGTCCGAACTGCAAAAGAGACACACCTGCACTGATCTTGGTGAGCTGCGCCACTACCTTGGCCTGCAGATCACCAGGGACAGAGCTGCTCGCACCATTACACTTTCACAGTCGCACATGGTGCAGCAGGTCCTTCAGCGGTTCGGGCTTCAGCACTCCACAGTACAGCGTTTCTTTTTGGGGGGGGGGGATGTGGGGGTGGCGGGTGTGAGTTGCCTGCAATCCGTCCTTCCCCTCCCTTCAGCGTGGTCCGCCGTGAGGGGAGCAAGAGGTTGCGGGGGGAGGGTGAGGGGAAAGGGGGAGATTGTGAAGGAGTGGAGAGAGAGATTCTGCCGAGCCAGCAGCCGCCCCTCCTCCTCTCTCTCTCTCACTGCCACGTGTGCTGCCGTGGGGGGGAGGGTGAGACGGTAGCGGAAGTCAGCTAGGCATCTGCAGCTGCCGCCCGCTGCTATCGTGACACCTCCTGCTGCCGCCCCTGCCTCCAACTGCTGTTTATTCTGCTGTCTTCTGCTGTTGAGCGGCAGGTGCTGCCGTTGAGCCCTGCTGTTCCGCCGCACGCACCCGCTCTCCAGGCGACCTGCCGCCACATGCACCTTTGCCTGTTGCTTCTACCTTGGCTGAGGGGTTGGTGTAGCAGAATCTGCCACCACTGCACCGGTTGCCACTGCTCTTGTCTACTGTTGCTGTTTTCTCTGTTCGTGGTGTACCCATCCAAGAGGTGTTGCTGCACAAACTCCTGCTGCAGGCAGTTATGGGGGAGTGTTGAAATATATATGTAAACTGCCTGTAGCTGTAGTGTAGTGTAGTTATTATAACCTATTGGTGGTGCACCTTCTTTGCATGCTTTGTTTGCTATTTGTACCTCGCTCAATAGTGAACTCATCCTCTTTGGCTAAACTCTCTCGACATGTTCCTCTCAAGTCCCCTCCTACCCCAAACCCTAGTCTAAACCTTCAAGTCCCCTCCTACCCCAAACCCTAGTCTAAACCTAATCTACTCTTTTAACAATTAGTAGCTCGCGCTAATCGCTGCAGAAGCAATGAATGTCAGGTGCCATCAGCGAGTTGGATTCGTCCAAGCTTGCATCCTCGCGTCACTCATCACTTCCCGTCTTCGCTTCCCGCCATTCACGTCCATTCGTTCGTGTGACGTCCTAAGTGACTGAATGTGACACGTTACGTGAGGCGGTCACGACTCACGAGTCCACCGTGGAATCCTGAACGAAAAACCTCGTAGGACTTTTCCGTCTGAAACAGACCAGAGCAAGGATCGACCTTACTGTGGATTCTGCTGACATGACCACACAGGTGTCATAGTTGACATGACATGTGTAGTACAGTTGACGGGAAATGGCGACCGTCAGTGGCGCTGGTCAGCCTGAATTTACAACAGACCAGTCGCTAGGCTGTGAGAGAACCGTTTGTTGTGCTCTTTGCTCTGTGATTTCTGTTGGAACATTTAACGCTTGCCTTGAGGTTGCAGGTTCCTTTTGGCCCGCCCTTATTGAGTGATTCGTGACAGAACAGGCAGATGGTGGAGGTGATTAGTCTGGGGATCAACCAGGTGGTGGAGTCAAATACTTGCTAACAAAGGCCACAGAGGAACATTTTTGTGGGGATTTGTGCAGTCTTTCTCCTAGCGTATGTACAGGGCTCATGCAGAAATCTACATTCCACCAGCTTCCTTGAGCGCTTGTTGTGCAATTGGCCTCCATTGCTCCGCAAGGGACTCGTTCAACCCCATGCCCATTGCTAGGCCTCTCAGCAGCTGCATGGTGCGCACCACAAAGAACAGATCCTCTGGGAATTTCTGCAAGTGAAGAAACAGGGAGGTGCACATAGTGAGTGTGTGTGGTAGGAGCGGTTGTACAAGGAAGCAGCAACTTGTGAATACATAGTTGTGAATGAGGAAATGTTGCTTCATACCTCAATCCCGTTCCTCTTCAGGGTGGATTCGCTCGCAAACGGGTTCGACGTCGTAACCCCTTCCGACACCCCCGTGTCAAACATGAGTGAAGACATGCGGTGAAAGCTCTTGGGGTCCTCGAAAGCAGTCCTGGTAGTCCGAATTCCCAAGGCTTGGAACAGCGAGCCTACTCTTGGCATGTCCTTATCAGCCACTGCTAGTATTAAACGAGCCAGGTTTAGACGCAGCGAGTCTGGGAGAAGCTTTGTCTGGCCATAGTCCAACAAAGCAACCTGTATGTATAAGTCATTGGATAATGGGAACAAAGTGATAGGAATGAAAATGATCAGGGATGTGGAATGAAGGAGCAAGAACTGATTTGGTTTGAGTGAAAGTGATATTCATGTAAAAGTATTATGCATGGCTGACCTTTCTATTAGGGCAGATGAGGAGATTTCCTGGATGGGGATCAGCTTGAAAATGCCCATCCCGCAGGATCATCAGCCCGTAAGCTGTCCCGAGTGACCGAAAGATTGACCTGCTCAAGAAAAGGACGGATAGGAACAAAAAGCAAAGGCAAGAAAAGAGGCTTTTAACGCCCACGAGAATGCCTGTCTAGAACCCTCTTAGATTAAACTCCATTGCTAGACTCTCCAGTGCATCGCACTCAATATTCTCTATCAATGTAGCACACTGCACTCACCTCTTACCAGCACTGTAACGGAGGGGCCCTTGATCAGATCCATCACCAGCAGGCGCTGGGTGACCCATTGCACTCACTTCTTTGCCTTCATAGCAAGGAAGCCGTTGGGGTCAATTCCCTTGATTCTCATCTCCTCCTCCATCTTGACAAGTGGAGAGCCCTTGATCAGATCCATCTCACAAGCAGGCGCTGGGTCACCCATGGCACTCACCTCTTGGTCAAGGTACTCACCTCTTGGTCAAGGTACTCACCTCTTGGTCAAGGCACTCACCTCTTGGTCAAGGTACTCACCTCTTGGTCAAGGCACTCACCTCTTGGTCAAGGTACTCACCTCTTGGTCAAGGCACTCACCTCTTGGTCAAGGCACTCACCTCTTGGTCAAGGCACTCACCTCTTGGTCAAGGCACTCACCTCTTGGTCAAGGCACTCACCACTTGGTCAAGGCACTCACCACTTGGTCAAGGTACTCACCTCTTGGTCAAGGCACTCACCTCTTGGTCAAGGCACTCACCTCTTGGTCAAGGCACTCACCTCTTGGTCAAGGCACTCACCTCTTGGTCAAGGCACTCACCTCTTGGTCAAGGCACTCACCTCTTGGTCAAGGCACTCACCTCTTGGTCAAGGCACTCACCTCTTGGTCAAGGCACTCACCTCTTGGTCAAGGCACTCACCTCTTGGCTCTGGTAGCAAGGTAGCCGTTATAGGTTGACTCCTTTGGCTCGCATCTCTTCCTCCATCTTCAAAAGCGGAGAGTCCTTGATCAGATCCATCACCAGCACATGGCACACGTCACAAGGCATGTGGCACATGGCACACGTCACAAGGCATGTGGCACATGGCACATGGCACATGGCACTCACCGCTTTGCCTTCATAGCCAGAAAGCCGTTGGGGTTGACTCCCTTGGCTTGCATCTCCTCCTCCATCTTTACAAGTGGAGAGCCCTTGATCAGATCCATCACCAGCAGACGCTTGGTCACCAATCCAGGTACAGACGCAGGCACCACCACAGGCGAGGCAGAAGAAGACGAACCAGCAGCAGCAGCCGGAGCAGTAGCAGCAACAGCAGCAGCACTCGCAGAAGCAGCAATAGCAGTAGCAGCAGGGTCGGTAAGAGAAGCAAAAGCAGTAGCAGTGGAAGCGGGCCGCGAAAAAGGATTCCACCGCCTCCTGCTTTTCCGCCTCTGGTTTGCTGCTGCAGCTCCCGCGCCTGATGCTGCCGAACCTGCCAGCGAGGCTCGGATGGTATCCATGGCTGCGGCCTCCCTTCGAAAGTCAAACTCGTACCTGATCTGCAGGTATGGATGGAAAGATTTAAAGAAGCATGGGGAGAAACCGAGGGATAGGCGGAGAATATATATATATATATATATATATATATTTTTTTTTTTTAAGAGAGATGGGGCGTGCGATTGAGAGGGATTGGGAGGGATTGAGAGGGGATAGTGAGGGATGCCGGAAGCACAACCGATCACACCCGCGGCTGAAACCCCCCCCTCTGTGCACAAGCCAGAATTGTACCTTCTAACCACCTTCTAACCACGTTCTAACCACGTTCTAACCACGTTCTAACTACGTTCTAACCACCTTCTAACCACGTTCTAACCACGTTATAACCACGCTATAACCACGCTATAACCACGCTCTAACCACGTTCTAACCACGTTCTAACCACGTTCTAACCACGTTCTAACCACGTCCTAACCACGTTCTAACCACGTTCTAACCACGTTCTAACCACGTTCTAACCACGTTCTAACCACGTTCTAACCACGTTCTAACCACCTGTAAACATTCTGAGGGCCCTTACTGCACAAGTCAAGAATTCTGCCCTCCGGATTGTACGGATTGAATCTTCCTGCTACCCCCCACCTGCTTCTCCAGCTCGTTCAGGGCTCCCATAATCTCCAGCTTCAGCTCAGTGCTCTGTAAGAAGGCAGGCCCCATTCCCCCACCGTTTGAAACCTCTCAAGACCCACCCACACCCACCTGCTTCTCCAGCTCGTTCAGAGCTCCCATAATATCCAGGTTCAGCTCAGTGCTCTGTAAGAAGGCAGGCCCCATTCCCCCACCGTTTGAAACCTCTCAAGACCCACCCACACCCACCTGCTTCTCCAGCTCGTTCAGAGCTCCCATAATATCCAGGTTCAGCTCAGTGCTCTGTAAGAAGGCAGGCCCCATTCCCCCACCGTTTGAAACCTCTCAAGACCCACCCACACCCACCTGCTTCTTCAGCTCGTTCAGGGTCCCATAATATCCAGGTTGAGCTCGGTGCTCTGTAAGAAGGCAGGCCACCACTCACCCACCAATTGAGACCCACCCACACACCTACCATCCAGCCACCCAGCACCCCACCTGCTTCTCCAGCTCGCTGAGCGCGCCCATGATGTCCAGACTCAGCTCCGTTCTCTGCAGGAAGGCAGCCCACCACTCCGCTGCACCTTGCAACCACACCCCCACCCACACACCTACCATCCAGCCAACCAGCCAGTATCCCACCTGCTTCTCCAGCTCGTTCAGCGCACCCATGATATCCAGGTTCAGCTCCGTGCGCTGCAGGAATGCCCCCACCTTCCCCTCCCCCACCACCCACACGCCCGGGAACCATGCTATGATACCAATCTGCCACACCGTTTGAAACCTCTCAAGACCCAACTCCACCCACCTGCTTCTCCAGCTCGTTCAGCGCGCCCATGATGTCCAGGTTCAGCTCCGTGCTCTGGAGGAAGGCATGACCCCCAAACTCCTAGGAACCACACCCCTTGCATACACAGCACCCACCCACCCACACATCCACCCACCCGCCCACCCACGCACCTGCTTCTCCAGCTCGTTTAAGGCTCCCATGATGTCCAGATTGAGTTCCGTGCTCTGCAGGAAGGATGCAAACGCCTTGAGGTTGGCGAGGTCTGTGAGCATGAGGGGCTCGGCACCCGTATGCTGCACCTGAGGGTGAGTACATGTAACGGGGGGGGTGGGGGAAAGGGGAGAGGACGCCTTGAGGTTGGCGAGGTCTGTGAGCATGAGAGGCTCGACACCCGCATGTTGCACCTGAGGGTGAGTACATGTAACGGGGGGGGTGGGGGAAAGGGGAGAGGACGCCTTGAGGTTGGCGAGGTCTGTGAGCATGAGAGGCTCGACACCCGCATGTTGCACCTGAGGGTGAGTACATGTAACGGGGGGGGTGGGGGAAAGGGGAGAGGACGCCTTGAGGTTGGCGAGGTCTGTGAGCATGAGAGGCTCGACACCCGCATGCTGCACCTGAAAGGGTGGGGAGAAGAAGGGCGGAAGAAGAGTTGAAGGTAAACGTCCTCTGCTCTGTGCTCTGTGCTCTGCTGGCTGGCTGGCTGCATGATTCAGAAAATAATGGTGGCCCTCTTACCTTGATAGCAACCTCTTTTCCTCCTCGCAGTCTCTCTCTGTGCACTTGAGCAATCGAAGCAGACCCTAACGGTTTCTCCTCCACCCACTCCCACACCTCCCTCCACCTCACCTGCCCTTTATCCCCCCTCCTCTGCAGTAACGAATCCCCTCACCTTGATAGCAACCTCCTTTCCTCCCCTCAGCCTCCCTCTGTGCACTTGGGCAATCGAAGCAGACCCCAGCGGTTTCTCCTCCACCCACTCCCACACGTCCCTCCACCCCACTTACCTGAGGTCTCCCTGCCCTTGAAACTGACTGCATTAACTTAACGAACCTCTTTACCTTGATAGCAACCTCCTTGCCTCCCCTCAGCCTCCCTCTGTGCACTTGAGCTATCGAAGCAGACCCCAACGGTATCTCCTCCACCCACTCCCACACCTTCCTCCACCCCACTTGCCCGTGAGCCCTCCGTGCCCCTTTGACCCGACTGCCTTGCACCTACCGATACTCCTCCTCACATCCACAAGCTTACCTTGATAGCAACCTCCTTGCCTCCTCGCAGCCTCCCTCTGTGCACTTGAGCAATCGAAGCAGACCCTAACGGTTTCTCCTCCACCCACTCCCACACCTCCCTCCACCCCACACCCCCCAGCTCCTCTTGAATCGTCTGGAGCACGAGGGGGAGCGGGTCGGCAGGAGCGGCGTCGTGGAGGGCTGAGAGGCGCGCCACCCACTCTGGTGGGGAGAGGTCTGGCTTGGCTAGGAATTGGCCTGCCTGTGATGGTGGGGTGTGGGGGGTGGGATGAGCGGGGATCTAAGGAATGAGTGAGCAGGAGCAGTGTCATGGAAGGCAGAGAGGCGAGGCACCCACGCTGGTGGGGAGAGGTCTGGCTTTACCAGGAGGAACAGGCCTGCCTGTGATTGGAGGGGGAGAGGGAAGGCCAAGGGGAACGGGAAGGGAAGAGGGAAAGGGTGTGGGGAAGGAGGATAAGGGGAATTAAGTAAGGGAGGGTGATGAGCAGGAGCAGGCACATGAAGAGGGAAGATGCTATTCAGCCATACACTTGGGGTTGACTTTTAACTTGACTTAGAATGTTAGGTCTGGAGAGCAGGAGCAGGGAAATGAAGAGAAGTGAGGTGACTTATTCACCCACATGGGTGGAAAGAGGTACCTTTCTTCTTCTGAAAACGACTGATTCCCTGCTTTTGGAAAAGATGGAGGGGCAGAGGCCAAACGAGACACCAAAAAAAAAAGCTACTAATCAACTAACTATTGCTCTCATTGAGAGTCGAACTCAAGACCTCCCGCTTACTAAACGGGTGCTCTAACCAACTGAGCTATGAGAGCTGTGCACTCGAAATATCTGACCCAAATAAGAGAAAATTTTACTTAAGGTCCTACTGCTAATCACACCTTCGCTTTTGTCACACCTTGCAAAAGAACTCTTTCACGTCGGTGCATAGAGCAGAGGGGATCTCTGCTCCCCTCTCAGTCCAATCTGCGGTCACCTTGTCATGCACGCACTATCATCACACCTTTCACTGTAGTCAGGCCCCCGCTACAGTCACACTTAGCTAGTCACACACACCTCCGCTATGGTCACACCTTTGCTAGTAACAGTCACACCTTCGCTAATAGTCGCGCCTTCGCTATAGTCACACCTTGAGGAAGAACCCTTTCATGTCGGTGCAGGGAGATCAGATGAGCTCTGCTTCCCTCTCGATTCACTCATGTGGTCACCTTATGATCACTCCTATTGTCACACCTCTGCTATGATCACACTTTCGCTATACTCACTCACACCTTGACGAAGAATCCTTTCATGTCGGTGCAGAGGGAGCAGCATAGGGGTCTCTTCTCCCCTCAGTTCAACCCCTGTAGCGAAATTCAGACCCTCAAATAGTCACACCTTGAGGAAGAATCCTTTCATGTCAGTGCAGAGGTCATAGAGCATCTCCGCCCCCCTCTCATGCTGCCTCTGCCACGTGGCAGATCTCTCCTCCTCTGATTGGCCGCTCACTGCCACCTGGAGCTGACAGAGCTGTGGAGTGATACGAGGATATGGGGAGAGGGAAGGGGAGGAGAGGGGAGAGAAGGAAAGAGGGAAGGGATGTGGGATCAGGAGGGGAAAAGGGATGACATAGCTGCAGAGTGATGCGAGGATATGGGGAGAGGGTAAGGGAGGAAATTATGGAGCAGGAAGGGGAGGAGGGGGGAAAAGGGGAGGATAAGGGGAGAAGGAAGGCATGATATGGGGAGCGGGATGGGGAGGATGAGGGGAGAGGAAAGGGGAGGATATGGAGGAGAAAGAAGGGGAAGAGGAGGAAAAGGGGAGGATAAGGGGAGAAGGAAGGGGATGATGGGGGAGAGGGATGGGGAGGATAGGGGGAACGGGAAGGGGAAAACATGAGGAGAGTGAAAAGGATGACAAGGAAGAAGGCGACGGGTAGGAAATGGGGAGAGGGAAGGAGGAGGGAAGGGAAATTATGAGAATGTAGAGTGCACCAAATTTGGAACAGACAAAATTCGCCGCTCAACTTTTTTGTAAGATGAAACGCACCTTGTAGCTGCCGTACAGATGCACCACACGCCGCCAGAACTCCGCCCCTCGTTGAAGCGACAGCACGTTCGCCTCTACATCCCGCTGTAACGCCAACACCCCTCGCTTCAGCGCGTTGCTCTGTGCCTCTACATCTCGATGAAACGCCACCACCCCTCGTTTCACTGCCTCGTTTCGTGCTTCCACGTTCCGCTGTAAGGAAACCACCCCTCGTTTTAGTGCCTCATTCCGCCCTTCCACGTCCCGCTGTAGCGATACCAGCCCTCTTTTTAGTGCCTCGCTCTGTAATTCCATATCCCATAACACCGCCACCACCCCTCGCTTCACTGCCTCTTTATGACTTTCCATATTCCGCTGTAAGAAAACCACCGCTCGATTCAGCGCCTCGCTTCGCTCCTGCACGGCCGATTTCACTCTCTCTGCTTCCGTCTGCATCCTCGCTTTTAGCTGCCTCGCTTCATCCAAACGCGCAGTCGCGGAAGCTTTGCTTTCACTGTCGTAATCTTCTTTTTTCCATCCCACTTCCCTTCCCACCTCCCTTCCCACTTCCCTCCCCAGGCTTTCTTCTTTCCAGGAGGAGGCGATCGGGTCAGCCCAAGTCTCAAACCACGACTGTGGGGTTTCCGGTATCCATTCGACGGTCTTAGACGTTTCGGATTTCTTAGAGTCGACTTGCCCGTCCGAACCAGTATTTGATGTTACCACCTTCAACGAACGCGAACTTGATAGTGCTGATTCGCCCGGGCCTTCAGTCTGGAGGGATCTCCCTTGCCGAGGGGTCTTTGGCGAAGGCTGCGACGCCAGAGGCGACCCTGGCGACGCTGGCGAAGACGGTGGTAACAGCGGCAGTTGCGAAGGGGGTAAGAGGAACGGCGAAATGGGAGGATTGGATGGAGAAGGCGGGGAGTGCAGTAGCGACGCGGAAGCTATGAGCACGCGGCGCGACAGCAGCGACAACGGATTTGGTTTCCGAAGCGCCTCGGCAATCGCGGAGCCCCTCTGCACTCGACGCGATAACAGAGACAGCGGATTCGGCGGCCGTGTGCTAAAACGCGACTGCCGCTCGCCGTCAGTCGCGCCAGACGATTCCATGCGAGCAGATTCAGTGAATCTGGACTTAGGCCGAAGCGCTCTACGATAGCCGCGGAATTCGAGTAGCGATCAAGCGGCGAGCCGAAGCGGCGAGGTGCCTGACTGCAATTGCACGAGCCGAAGTGCTGAAGTACTGATTTTAGACGCCTTTCTTACCACGCACTCACGCCCTCACGCACGCACGCACTTACTCACGCACTCACGCGCTCCGGAGCCCTTCAAGTACTATCAGAGCACCTCAACGGAGTGACCGTGTCTCAAAGTCGAACATCGGAAGCTACCTGAGAAGAGTTACGAGGGGTCCATCACCCCCTGATGATCAGGGGGCTACGAGTGCATGCTTCTCCCCTTCCCCGAATCTTGGACCACAATCGGCTTCTGATGGGACCACAGCGGCTTTCTGGGGCAGAAACAGGCTGTTTCCTCCCGAGGAATTTGGCGAGAAGCATGAAGTATGATGATGATGGTGATGCCGACGAGTCAACGCACAACTTGTCACAACTGATGGAATTACACGCGCGAATTGCGCACGGGATGATTTTTGGTCGTCCAAGGAAACGTCGCCCGAGTCTAAGCCCGTCGCCGAGGGAGCCATCGCACAAGCGAATCGCGCAAGCGATGTTTCTTCACATGCGTCGCGAGCTGTTGCCGTGGATAGCTGACTAACAGACGGAATAGACGAGGTAAGGAATCGCTGCCGCCAATTGACGGGATAGGTCGCGTGTCACTGCCGATACCTGACGGATTTGACGAGGTCGCGTACTGCTGCCGTTCCACCTGTCAATACCTGTCACTAAAGTGCGATGGACACAGGTACTAGTCTGGACTCTCACAAGGCACACTGTACTTTCCCAATCCAATCAAAGTGAACGTGAAGTGCGTATGAAACGTGATCTGCTGCGGAAGAGACGCGCTTCAATAGATGAGACGAGATGATTGAAGCCCACTGGGCCGGACCACTGGGCCCCTCGGATATGACGAGGTTGCGTGTTGCAGTCGCTCTGGCCTGTCACATCCTAGTTGCCACCTCGCCCGACGCTCTGAAAGGTCGCTCATCCTAGTTACAGACGCAATCCACAATCGCGTGACTGGGGCTTGGAGCTTGTGCTTGGACAAGAAATGCAGCGGCACTGCTGGTGTTGCTTGTGCTGCTGCTGGGGGTGGAATTGCAGTGACGTTGGATCGAACGAGGTGGAGCTGTCGATGGCTAGGCGAGCAGTCAGTCTCCCCGTCAACCTCAACGAAAGCTGTTGAGTTTGGTGCGTCTCGGTTCGAGTAATATCGAATGCGTTGCGGATGTGTGGTGACGAGAGGGGACCGTTCAACCGCTGGACTAGACTCGGCGTGTATGTGTGGGGGGGAGGAAGAGGGGCTGGGGCCAACTTCATACATACTCAAAGTATTCCCGAGCGCGTTCTCAGGTGTAATCAACCTGGACTTTCTCAACGTTGATTGGTCTTCGCGTTTTAGTCACATTTCACGCTGGTCGAGCTCTTTAGGAAGTGACAAAAACAGAACCACTCATTTTACCCTCCCGAATTGGATATGTTAGTTTAAAGTACGGAATTTACGACAGGTCCGAAAAAAATAAACCCTCTAGGGAATGTGGACGCATTTTCGGGAGGGGTCAACCCTAAACACGGGAAAGGGCATTGTTTTTAGGGTTGATGCCTCCCGAGTCGCATCCCTTTCCGATTGGGTTTTATTTTTTTGTCAGGTGGGGTGCATTATATTATTCCAAAATACTGGGTGGATTCCCGATGTATTTAGGGTTGATCCGTTCCGAAATTCATACAGGTCCGCTACAAGTTATATAGATTTTATTCAAGTGCTATAATTGTTTTTAGTGACTGTATGCAGAAAACACCCGGAATAGACTAATACTATATCGCGAAACTATGTTTCTGTTGGTGATTACACCTGAGAACTCGCTCGGGAATACTTTGAGTATGTATGAAGTTGGCCGCTGGGGAATTGTGAGCGAATGTCAGCGCAATTTTGCAAATTCGAGCGAGGCAATTGGAGGGATTTTGGAACTCGAATTTTCCTTGTGACCTGACGAATCGCCTTCGGGATACCGACGCGAACGGAGGGGGTTGGTGCCTGCCGAAACACAGTGGCTGGCAGCGTGGTCAGCGACAATATTCCATACCCGTTTTATGCATCATTCTTGTTAGGGGGCTATACCATCAACCTATATTTCAATCAGCATGATCTTAACACAAACGTACAAACCACAGATCAGAAAGCCTTCAACAGAAAATGAACTCCAAGCATTGTTCAACACGGTCCATCTGCTATGAAGAGCCATGTTGAAGCATGCTTGGGGCTCCAGGTGTCTCCAAACACATACTGAAGAGCGACACTCCCATACTTTACAAGAAATATCACAAAAAGCATCAGGACATCTGAGAGTACAGATGTCAGTGCTCTTAGTTACTTCCTTACTGATGCTGCTGCTGCCTCTGCCTCTGTGCCTCCCTTATCGCCTGCCGAGCAATCGGTCTCCATTGCTCCGCAAGCGATTCATTCAACCCCATGCCCATGCAGATCCCCCTCAGCAGCTGCATCGACCGCACCACAAAAAACAAATCCTCCGGAAATTTCTTCACACCGTTGTTTTGGGCTGCATGCTCCTCTGAGAACGGGTTTGATGTCGTGACGCCTTTCGCCGACCGCGTATCAAACATGAGCGTCGCCATCCACTTGAAACTTTCCGGATTTTGTTCGGCCGTTTTGCTGAGCTCAAAGCCCATATCGCTGTACAGCCGTCCGATCTTCCTCGAGTCACCGTCACCGACGGCCAGGATCAGCTCGGCCAGCTGCAGGCGGTGCTGCTGGGAGAGTTGTTTCGTCTGCCCGTAGTCGAGAAGAGCTACCTTTCGGTCCGGGCAGATGAGAATGTTTCCAGGGTGCGGGTCAGCTTGGAAAAAACCGTCTCGAAGGATCATGAGCCCGTACGCTTCCCCAAGGGAACGAAATATTGACCTGCAGGAGATTTGAGGAAAAGGGTGTGTGAATGTGAGGAGGGAGGGGGAGGGGACAAATAGAAATGAGTCAAGGGAAGCAGTGGGAGTGTTTTGAGACAGTGGGAGCAGTGGGAGTGTTTTGAGACGTCTCAAAACACTCCTTTCTTCAAGTAATGAGTCAAGGGAAGCAGAAGCAGTTCCATCAGCAGCGGAAGGAGGTAAGAGAGGCAGCCAATCAATCACTTACCACTCGCATCAATCTTACCACCACAGCACTCCCACTCACCGCTTGATTCTCGAAGCAAAGAACCCATCCGCCTTGCTTCCCATCTGCCCCGCTACTTTCAGCAGCGGTGAGCCGTCGATCAGATCCATCACCAGCAGCTGCGGGCTCACGAGACCGGGGATGGGGCGAGGCACCACCACTGGCGAGGAGGAGGAGGAGGAAGAGGAGGAGGAGGAGGAAGAGGAGGAGGAGGAAGAGGAGGAGGAGGAGGAAGAGGAGGAGGTGGATGGTGAGGAAGAAGAGCTGATGTGACTGTTGCGTTCCGACTGCTGCTGTCTCGAGCCTCTTCTCCTCTGCTTAGCACCTCTGCTCTTGAGAGCGCCACCTGCTGCTCCTGCTGCACCTGCTCCTCCTGCTGCTCCTGCTGCTGCTGCTGGTTTCCTTCTCACCATCTCTCCACCGTTCCCTCTCTCCCCTCCACCTCTCAGCGCAAGGTGAACCCGCTCCATTGCACCTGCCTCTATCCGGAAGTCAAACTCCAGCCGCACCTGGAAGAGGGGAACGTGGGACAAAACAGGAAACGCTCTCAGCTCCGTCCACTTCACGAACGAAAGCACCAAGCGCGGTGCAGGAATGGTACCAGAGCACACGTGTAGGCCTCACCTGCTTCCCCACCCTCACCTGCTTCCCCACCCTCACCTGCTTTTCCACCAGTGCAGACACGATATCCATGTGCCTCAGTTCTGTCTTCTGCAGAAACGCACTAGACTTGCCCACATGAGCACATGCAGACAAACACTTGAGTTCTCCCACCCTTCTCACCTGCTTCTCCAGCTCCACCAGAGCAGACACAATATCCATGTGCTTCAGCTCTGTCTTTTGAAGAAACGCTCCAAACGCCTTGAGGTTGGCGAGGTCTGTGAGCATGAGGGGCTGCGCCCCCCTGTGCTGCACCTTCACTGCCACCTTCCTGCCATCGTGTAGCCAAGCTCTGTGCACCTGCGAGAGGAAAGCGGGGAAGAGAGAGGAATGAGAGGTTAGCAAGGTCTGTGAGTGAGCATGAGAGGCTGCACCCCCCTGTGCTGCACCTTCAGTGGCACTCGCCTGCCGTCATGCAACCACGCCCTGTGCACCTGCGAGACAGGGGAGAGAAAAGGGGGTGGTGGGTGATGTGCGATGGGAGTAGGAAGGAAAATCTGTGAGCATGAGAGGCTGCGCCCCCCTGTGCTGCACCTTCAGAGCCACTCGCCTGCCGCCATGCAACCACGCCCTGTGTGCCTGCAAGACAGGCTTTTGAGACGCCTCAAAAGTTGCAAGACAGGGGAGAGAAGCGGGAGACAGTGTCGGGGAAAACAGCGCTCACTAACAGACTCGTGCAAAACGCATCATAATCTTGTAGCATACCTGAGCAATAAAAGCAGACCCCAGAGGCTATTCATCAATCCTTGCAAACACATCAATCCACCGCACCCCCTTTCCTCCCAGTCAATGCCTCCAACCCCCCCTCGATCGTCGCAAACACCACTGGGAACAGCACTCACTACGACAGTGTTGTAACACTGTAACGCACCGGAGACATTGTAACAACTTACCTGAGCGATAGAAGCAGAACCCAGAGGCTCCTCATCAATTCTCGCGAACACATCGCTCCACCGCACCCCTTTCCTCCCAGTTACAGCCTCCAACTCCCCTTCGATCGTCCCACACACCACCGGGAACGGGTCAGCAGGGGCAGCATCGTGCAGAGAGGCCAGTTTCGCCACCCACGCTGGAGGGGACACGTCAGGCTTCGCTAAGAACTGCCCCGCTTTAAGGAAGAAGCCCCGCATTTCGGTGCAGAGGGAGTGTAGCATGTCAGCTGCCCGCTCGTGCTGCCTCTCCCATGCTTCGTGCTTCTGTGTGTCTGTGAGTAGTGACAGTCGGCGATTACCGGGGAGGGGGAGGGCGAGGGAGGTGTGGAGTTGGCAGACCTGTGGGGGGAGGAGAGGGGGGGAGGGTGGTGGGAGGTGCTTTGAAGAAATCTCATATGACAGATATACTGTTTCAATTTTTTCTTTTGAGTTTGTAGCACATATAATATAACAGCGTTCTCTATACACACTTTGTATAGAAGTTTAGTTTATAGCTACTGTGCTTGTACATGCATAAGATTGTAGTGTACTCACCTTATAGCTGCCGTATATATGAACGATTCGGCACCAAAACTCCCCGAATCGGCGCAACGCCAGCATCCGCGACTCCGCTTCCGCCTTCGCGTTCCCCACGCGCTCTTTAACAACCGCCATCCGCGCGCCAATTCCAGCCACCGAACCAAGCAAGGGCGCGCCAATCCCCGCGCCAATTCCCGCGCCAATTCCCGCGCCAATCCCAACTGTTTGCGCCAAATTTCCGCGCGCCGTGGTCATTGCGCCATCGATTCCGCGTGCAAGAGCTGTTAGCGCACGGTTTGCGCCATCCCCCGCCGAAGTATGCGCGCGGCTGAGATGCGCATGGGCGGATGTTACCGCGCGGGTAAGTTGCGCCTCAAGCGCCAGTGAGTCCGGTCGCGGAGTGACCTGCGCTTGTCCGCTGGCTTCCGCAGTGGTCTTGCGCAAGTTACGCACGCGCGACGCCTTCTCTTCCAGCCAGCCAATGACAGCGCGCTGAAGCTCCTCCGGAGCCGAAGGTAACGGAAAGATATCGTCAGAATCCGGCTGGCTCGGCAGCAGGCTCGGACCGAACCTCGGCGCGAAGCCGAGGCCCGGAGGCGTCGCGTGTGAGGCGGAGACGGAAGCGAGAATCGCGGGGAACTTAAAGCTCCGAACCGGGCGCTGCAGCGGTCGTGCAACTAGATCCGAAGTGCTACCGGCAGAACCACCGTGGGATGCGGCTGGAGTACTTAAATCCCGCCGCGGTTCGGCTCCGCAAACGGCAAAAAAGGTTCCATTTTGAGTGGGAACTTGAGTAGCAGGAGGGGGACCTATTGCGGGTTCAGGAACTCGCGTGAAGCGGGGAGCATTTGCGGCGGGTGCAACGGGACCGTTGCGCGGCTGCTGAGGGTGACGTGCAGAGCCCCGTCCAGCCCTTGATGACCGGAAAGTGCGGCGCGAAACGCGGGCGGCGGTCGGCGAGCCGCGGTTCTCAGGAGCCATGCTTGACGAACTGCGACGCTTGCGGCGACACTTGCGGCGACAATAGCAAGGAAGGTTGTTGAAGGTCCGGGCACTAAAAAGATATGGTTCCGTCTACCTGACTGGGAGGTTAGACGAATCACGGATGGACGAAGGCTGTCGACTAGCCGACCACTGCCAGCTTAGGTTCTCTAAGTGAAATGCGGGGCAACAGACGGTCTGGTTTGGTGTCGCCTCAGCGCAAATATTTGTTTTGATCGCGAGGGCTAATGCGGTCAGCGCCGTCAGTGGGCTCCCAAATATTTTCCGGCTGAGCGCTCAGAGCAACGCGCTTATCGCGCCGCGCAGATCGTTTGCGCCCAGGTGTGTGCTAGAGATGTCGAGAGTCGAGGAGACGCAGCTAGGAGGTTCCAAGAAAGCAAGAACTTATGTGTGCAAGACGTAAGGAGCAAGAAGGACTGTTGGACGTGCGGAGGGGTGAGGTGAGGTGACTGCTCTGGTCTGGTCTGCTCCGCCGCGTGTGGCGTGTGTTACACACTTGATGATGAAGCAGGCACAGTCGAAGCGACGACCACCAATGACTGAAGCAGACGCAGATTTTCCCTACTTTCTCCCCATCCCACCCCACCCCGCCCGCCCCTACCGCATCCGCGCTTGTTTGATACTCTCCGTCTGGCTTGCCGTGGTGGCTGGAAGATATTTGGAAAAACGAGTGATTTGGACGGCACCGTCCATGAAGTCCGAGTTTCAACGCAGAACCCTGGCAGTGGTGAAATGAATCGTCATATCAGGTGCACTTAGCAAAGGGTCGGTGTGGGTTGCGATTTGGTGGGTTGATAGGGTAGGGTTGGTAGCAATTGACGGCCGCCGAATCGAGACCAAGCGGAAGCACATTTTACGATTCTAATAATAAAGCAAAAAGGTAACCACAAACAAGCCTCGATGGCGCAGTCGGTAGCGCGTAGGTCTCATAGCATTCCGACTCCCACACAGTTGGGCGGAGCCATCCTAAGGTCGTGAGTTCGATCCTCACTCGGGGCACAGCTTTTGTTGCCTTTCTGGGCACGGGGATGTCAGCCTGGAGATTCTGTCTTGCTGTGTGCCTGACGCTCTTGCTGATATGATAGCTATAGCTTTGGCCTTTGCATTTCACTTGAATCTCATGCTGTAAGGCTTTGTCTTTCACATCACTCTCTTGTTTACTTCTGGCTTTCTTTAAACTCGCAGACCCATTGCCTGGACAGGTTCCTCACCTTGTTGCCGCATGGTTAAGAACCGAACTAATAGTGTGCTGCGATTGTCCTACAACTCTGTCTGCGCCAGATATTTGCTAGCTTTGTGCAATAACTATGTAGGAACTTATGGAACCTTCCGTGCGAGCAACTTGCCGGAGAGCAACAATTGCAAACTGCGCTGGCAAAATATAACCAGACAAGGATTGGCCAATATTGGTACCACCTGCCCTCCAGTTGATGTGTACACAAACACAATCATAATCGTCGCAAAACCCTGCTCCACTTGCACAATTCACATGACTTGGAGCAGCAGGAACCTGCACAGCATGTCACTTGCACTGTCAGGTTTGCACTGTCAGGTCACGTCACATCATGATTCGCAGAAAATTCCCGTCCATGCCCCTCGAAAAACCAAGTACACATGCCGTGTTTACACACAAGCAGCATTGAAGTTGATTAGCAGCAGAGACAAAGAAACCCATCCCAATCCCTCTTCACCTACCCCATACCCATTAAGGCCTTCCCTTGCCCACCTGTCAAGCAGCAGCGCTGTTGGCGCTGATTGCAGCCAGTGTTGCTGCTGCAAAGACCAGGAAGAGACATACCCTCCTGTTCCGTGGTCTCTATTCGCATATTCCCTATGCCTATGCCCACCTACGCCTTCCCTTGCCCACCTGTCAAGCAGCACCACTGTTGGAGATAATTTCAGCCAGCGTTGCCGCTGCAAAGACCAGGAAGAGGGTGCCTCCAACGTAGGCTACAGTCTGTCGGCACATAATCACGGTCGAAACAGGGAGGCGGCACAAAGGGAAGGGCCAGATGGTTACTGGGAATAAGAAACCAGCCTAATGTGCCTCCCATGTTGAGTACTGCCAAAGGCATTCTTAGCCCACCTGTTACCACGACAACCTCACTTACCCGCTCCGAGATGTATTTGGAGAGAAATGACCCGCCCAGCACTGCCATCTGCAAACGGGGCAAAAGAGGGAGAGCCGGCGGCGATGGGGGGTAACGGCGTGCAATTCGAGGAGGGTAAGTTAGTGGCATGCAAGGTAAGGGCGTGTAAGATCCCCGTGCACACAGAATCGGCCATCAAAATTAGGTGGCCGTAGCGAAAGTAACCATTTCGTGATCGGTTTGCGAATCTCGTCAATTTCAACCATCAAATTTGTGATTTGATGGCCGGAAAACTAGTCGACTCTTTTCCGACGCGTGGTCGACTTCAAATCGGCCATGCTGTCGACAGCAGCTGTCTACAGTGAGAAACGAAGTCGCATACGCTGCTACAGTGAAATTGCGACATCGTATTCATGTGTGCGACATCGTCGCACCAAGTCGTAAAAAAGGACAAACCGAAATCTTCCACCTCTGTTACAGCGGCCAGCAAAACCGTGTCAGATTTGGAGGCCACACTGAGTTGGCCGAAAATTTGTCGACCTGGTGACGACTAATCTGTCGACCTTCGCGAAAGCTTTGTCGACCAAAATGGTCGACAAAATTCAGCCAAAACGTGTGCACGGGGATCTTACACACCCTAAGAAAGGTAAGGTAACAGCGTGCAAGTTAAAGAGGTAAGGTATGTGTAAGAATACTTATGTGTGTTTGTGTGTGTGTGTGCGTGCATGCGTGCGTTTCTTTTCGAGTGTTTTATGTGCTACGGCATGGCAAACAGCATAAAAGCTCACCACTGTGGCCACCCCATGAGCCGCCACAGCTCCTGTGACCACTCCTGCTGGGGACGATGCTGCTGCCAGTGCTGATGTGGGGAAGTTCGGGAGAGGCAAGGGAGAGATGAATGAGAAAACAGGGAGGGAAGAAAGGGGCGATTGGGATGCATGGTGGTCCGAATTCTGTGACCACTCCCGCTGGTGATGATGCTGCCGCCAGGGCTGATGGGCGGAGAGACAGGGAGGGGAGGGAAGTGGCAGTAGAGAGGGGGTAGGGCAGGAAGGGAGGAGGAAGGCAAGGGTTGGGATGCATGGAGGTCCGACTCCTCTGACCTCTCCCGCTGGGATGATGCTGCTGCCAAACCAAAAGGAAGAGACTGATGTTCCTGTGGGAACCCTTTAAAGCAGTCGGAGCAGACAATACTCACCAATGGTGGAGAAGAAGGATTTTTCGCACCATTCGGCTGTGAACACGAGAGCAAACACCGACACCAGCACTGCCAGAGAAACGAGAACTCTCCTCATCCCCCTCTCCGCCCCTCACCTCCCTTCAACCCCCCGTTCCCCATGGAAGTCTCACCAGTCTGCCTCAGCTCACCAATGGTGGAGAAGAAGGACTTGTCGCCCCACTCGGCTGTGAACACCAGTGCGAACACCGACGCCAGCACTGCCAGGGATATGCCCCCCTCCGTGGCCTCTGCTGCATTCAGCCCTGCTACAGCCTTCTCCGCCTGGTGAAATGGATGGATGCGAGGGAAAGTGCACAAGGGGGGGGGGGTCTGAAGCTGAGTGGAGCAGGAAAGACATGACCGCGGAAAAGCCTTCTTGTCATGTCATATCATATCGTCTGGAAAGAATGGCTCCCTCTCCTCTTCTCGCCATTCTTTCCAGTCCTTCCTGGAAGACCAGACGAGAAAGGGTGGCCCGAAGACAGTATTATCATCATCCTTTCCTGTCTTCACGCAACACTTTCTCGTGTTATCACCACGACCTCTCGCCTTATCACCACTACATCTCGCCTTATCACCACTCCTCGTCTCGTCACTATTTCTCACCCATATGCACCGTTTCTCACCTCCTGCTGCTCCTCCTCCGCCTTTGCGTCCATGCCTGCTGCGTCCCTCAGTGTAGAGAGACCGAAGAAGAGCTGTGGAAAAGAAGGGAGGAGTGGGAGGGAGGTAGGGAGGGGGGAAGGGGGGTAGGAGGGGTGGGGGAGGGGAGGGCGGTTGTGGGCGGGAGGAGGGAGAGGGAGGAGGAATGGAAGGGAGGGGTGAAGTGATAAAATATAATTCAACTCAGAGCAGCCTCAGAGGTTTTCCAGAGGTCCACAGAGGTGCCATCATCCTGAGGGAAAGTGAAACGAGTCACGGCGTTTTTAGAGACGACCCAAAAGACCAAACAATACAAAAACAGAATACTCGTGAGAAGCACTGAAACAGAGAGGCTTACCAGCAGAACGACAGAAGCGACATCATCCAGAGGGAAGTCAAACGAGCCGAAGCTGCAGCAGTGAACAGGGAAACACACATAGAGTGTCTTCATGAATATGCAAGGAAGGAATTGGGTGGCATGGATACACATGATGTGTGGCAGAATGGTGGATGGACGGATGGATGGATGGACGGATGGATGGATGGACGGATGGATGGAGAGAGCAGAGTCTTGTGGCATGATTGTGGCGTTGTGGGTGACACACGGAATGGGAGCGGCAGTGGACAATTGGTTGGTTGTGATAGCAATCGAGTGTTTTGGGAAATCGTTTGATTGTTACAGATGCGACAATACCGTGGTAGGATGAACCAACAATGGAAGGAGAACCGACAGGCAGGCAGGCAGGAGAACCTTACGCTGGAAGGAGCTCGTCTGCGTAGTGAAAGATTCGGCCGAGAGCCACTGACAGGACGGTCATGACGCTGAGAGGGACAAAGGGGGTTAGCAAGAGGGAGGGACGAGCACCTAGGAGAAAGGGAAAAAACACAGCAAGTACATCAGTGGCTTTGTGCATAGCGTGCTTCTGTGGATCTACACCACACTCAAGCAAGCGCTTCAGAGATGCCTGTGCAGTGGGTGTTTCCTTAGTCAACACAAGCACACTCTCAAACACGCGTTCAAAACAAGAGCAGAGGCACATTTATAGCACACTCACGCGAGCGCGCCGAAGGTGCCAGCGAAAACCTCCACATTGGGTCGTCTCGTGGCCAGCACAGCCTGATCAGGAATTCAGTGGTGGGGAAGGGGGGGGGGGGGGAGGGGTGGAAGGGGCGAAAGGGTAGAGAGAGGGAGGTGCTTGGAGAGTCTGATGCGCACACGCGTGCGAGTTCATTCTGTTAGCTCAGAGACGACGACCGCGTGGGACAGGTGACTTTTGAGTCGACTCAAAAGTCAGTGGTGGGGAAGGGGGGGGGGGGGGGGGGAAGGGGCGAAAGGGTAGAGAGAGGGAGGTGCTTGGAGAGTCTTATGCGCACACGCGTGCGAGTTCATTCTGTTAGCTCAGAGGCGACGACCGTGTGGGACAGGGAACAACGAGGTCATTTTGGGTTGACAACGCGAGGTCTCCATCAGGTGATTATTTGGACGGGTTGTTTACCGCCTAGATGGCGGCCTGGCTGATATCCTAGTGAACATCTTACCGCGATGAAAAATGTCTTATCGCCGATTTCAGAAAAGAGGACCAGCAGAAAGGCCTGGATACATGATGACGGACGGGCAGGGGAACCCATTCAGGCAGAACCAACGAAGAAAAACGGATCAGAAATGAACGTAAAACAACTGGAAGAGGCGCTCAGGTGGAAAAATGGAGGAAAACTTGAAAAATGAAGGAATCGCACACATCCTTCTTTCTTCTTTCCTTTTCTTACTCCATCGTTGTCTGTCTATGATTCGTTATGAAATCCGACTGCACTCACCGAAGCGAATCCAGCCTGGAAGTCGGCGAGATCCAAAATGCTGTTGACGTCAGCTGGCACGGCAGCGGAAGCGGCGATGACATCAGCTGTCGATGCTGCTGCAGCCGTTTCTGGCGAGGCAAGGCCTAGCAAGGAAAGAGACAATGCACCTACTGCTGCTGCAAGGGAGGCAGACGCGATCAGGGAAGGCGACGGAACTGAAGTTGAAGGGAAAAGACCAGATGGAATTGAGGGCCATTGGAGGAATCTCTGTTGGGAACGGCTGCTGGTCGATGCTGCTCGTTTCCCTTGCTCAGTCAGCCGAACATATTCAGTGGACGAGCCACATTCTGTTCTTTCTCCGTTCCATCGGCACGAGATTTGCACGGGAAAGCTTCTTCTTTGTGGAGTAGACCAGCCAGAAGGTTTAGGAGTGTGGGCTCGTGCAATGCCGCTTTCCAGAGACTTGAAGGAAGAACACGGTTTTTGTTGGACGTTGCCAGCTGGCGCTCTGGCATTGGTGGTTGAGCAGGCAGCCACTGAGCAATGAGAGACGGTGTTTATAGATCTGACTGGCAGCAGAGTCAAGCCGCTGACAGCAGCTAAGGTGGCCATTGGGAATGTATGGGGTTTTTAGCCAACGCGAGAAGGAAATCGTGACGGCCTGATCTTGCAACTGGCCTACAACTTGTTCCTTACCGCGATCACGGCGCAATAACGAGCATCCACGCTCAAGAAGTATAACGAACCCAGAAAGAAACACACGTCCACGCTCCTGGGTGCACACGTTTTGCTCGGCTAGTAGAGCAACACAGTCACGAAAACAAATGAGCGTGAAGGTGGGAGAGGATGGATAGGAAAGACTTGATGCTCCAATCAGAGGTGAATGGAAGAGATTCAAGTCGAAAGAGGAAAGAGGAGTCAGGCAATTCTCCGTTTCATATGCTCTTCCTCGTTCCCAGCCTCCTCGTCAGTCCCCTTTCGTCGTCACGTCAGTCCCGCAGCCTGGTTCCACCCATTTCAGCAACCAGGAGCAGGCGAACAGGATCACAGGCATGACGTGTTGTGGATGAGTCATGCTCGCGTCCACGGCTCCGGATGTCCAGGCATGTGGGAAAAGTTCGAAGTCAGCGAATCGGACGGCTGCGCTGGAGATGGAACGATTGGTGCTCGGAGGAGCCGACCAATTGCGGGCTTGGGTTGAGTGCTGGTTGGATGGTGGTCCCAATCTGCCTTCGCTTCACTTCTCGTAAATGCTGGCGCAAGAATTTTCGTTCGAAGTTGGTGCTTGGTTACGGTCGTAAGCCAACCGTGATAGGTTTTCGCTGGCTGGCGCTCAGCTGCATGAAGGGCGAAAGTACAAGGCTGGTTACGTACCATGTTCGTTTCGCAGTATGAATCGTCCAGATCCGCTTTCAGGACCAAACCCCAACACAAGAAGTTCCGTTACAAAATTGAGGACACTTTCAACTCAGAGTGATACGTTCGTGCGAACTTCTCGACTGCTACAAAGCATTGACCACCGTTGAACCTCACCACGTGGATAAAATTCGTAGTTCTCGAGGACCACGAATAAACGCGGGAGATGCTGCGATTGGTGGGGTTGGAAAGGTGGCAGAACGGATACTTGAATCTGCATCAATTCACGCCACATAGGCTCCTAGTTCCCAGGCCCTAGTTATCTGGCATAGTACCGCCATTGCCGTAGTGCGCTGACAACCTCTGGTGTATTGTCTTTGGTGTGCGGCACAGCGGTAGAGTGTCCCGAGAGTTGGCCAATCAAGTGTATTAGCCTGCAGCTAAAAGCAACGCGCGCTTGCTCTGGATAACAAGAAGCTATGCATGCAAGGTCATGCTATACGTAAATGACGACGACATTCCAGATGCGAATGAAATGACGCACTTGTTGTTTGGCGCCTATGTCTAGCTAATTGTCTGGCCTGCCTTTCGTCGAACCTCTTGCTTTTTTCGAATTCCATCCCCTTCATTGTGCTGACCTGCGCTATGGCGACTGTTACAGTATTCTCGCATCATCCTTTGACGCGGATTCAAACGTTCTCGCTACAATCCTCCTCGATTCTCGCTAATCCCTCGTCAAGTCCAGCATTCCGCCCTACACGCTTCAAGACCTTTTTTGTTCCTTCAAATAGAAACAATTATCAACAGTATCCAGAAGGTAGAGGATCAACAGGATCGCGCCACGTGTCTGCTCAAGCAAATCGACGAAATTCGAGGGGGAACCAGGAGGATGATGAGGATCTGGGAAGCTTCTGGGAAGGCGAAGAGGGTCAGCAGAAAATGGACGAGATCGAGGAGCTTAAAGCCATCCTTAGAGAGCGCAAGGCTCTTGAGAAAGAGCTGGACGAAGCCGAAGAGGAAGCAAGACGAGCCGCAGCTGCCGCTGCTGCTGCTGCTGGAGAAGGTGGAGGAGCGGCGGGAGCGGGCGAAGCAGGAGGATCGGCGGAGATTGGGGAAGACGGGTTGACCGCGGAGCAGCGCGCGGAGCGGAAGGCGGAGAAGCTGCGGGAGCTGCTGGCGAAGCGCGCGCAGGAGCAGGCGGAGAAGCGGCGCGAGGCGGCGGAGCTGTTCGCGTTCGGGCAGCAGGCGTACGGGCGCGGCGTGTACGACAAGAGCGTCGCAATCCTGGAGCAGGCGCTGGGAAACGTGGAGTTCACGTCAAAGCTTGCCGGAGAGGTCATTTGAGTTTCTGCTTGCTCCTGCCCCTCTCTTCCTGTCCCCTTTCCCCCACTCAGCTCCAACTCTGGCTGGCAATGGCCTTCGATGCTAATGGTCAGCGCCCAGAGTGCTTGGCGCTCTACTGCAAGCTGTAGAGCAACCACCCCATGCCCGCCATCCGCATGCCTCTCCCCCTGCCCCGTCCCCCTGACTCCGTCTCCCATCCTCCCTCCCCTCTCAGATACATCTCAGAATGCCTGGCTATGTACTGCAGGCTGGAGAGCAACCTCCCCATGCCCGCCATCCCCCCGTCCCCCATGCAGATCCAGCTGTAGCTGGCAATGGCGTATAACGCTAATGGGCAACGACCTGAGTGTCTTGCTCTCTTCCGCAAGCTGGAGAGCAACCACCCCATGCCTGCTTTCCGCATTCTCCCCCCTCTGCTCCTCCCCCTGCCCCTATCCAGATCCAGCTGTGGCTGGCAATGGCGTATGACGCTAATGGGCAACGCCCAGAGTGCCTAGCTCTGTACCGCAAGCTGGAGAGCAGCCACCCCATGCCCGCCATTCGCAACCAGGCTGCCAACATGCGGTACATCGCAGAGGCGCCCAAGCTGAAACTGTCCCCCGATGAGATCCTCAAAGTGCCCATTCTCGACAAGGATAACAACAGGTAGGGGGTGAAAGAAGGGGAGAGAATGAGCAGGTGGGGCTGGGTAACAAGGTAGCAAGCATACAGGCAACCAGGCCGCTAACATGCGGTACATTGCAGAGGCGCCCAAGCTGAAACTGTCCCCCGATGAGATCCTCAAAGTGCCCATTCTCGACAAGGATAACAACAGGTAGGGGGCGAAAGAAGGGGAGAGAATGAGCAGGTGGGGCTGGGTAACAAGGTAGCAAGCATACAGGCAACCAGGCCGCTAACATGCGGTACATTGCAGAGGCGCCCAAGCTGAAACTGTCCCCCGATGAGATCCTCAAAGTGCCCATCCTTGACAAGGACAACAACAGGTACGGACTTGATGGAGAGGAGAGGAGGAGCAGGTGGGGGTTGAGGTGAAGTGAGAGGAAGAGAAGGAGTGGGTGGGGATTGGCTGAATGGGTTGAGATCATGCAAGCAGGCTGCCAACATGCGGTACATCGCAGAGGCGCCCAAGCTGAAACTGTCCCCTGATGAGATCCTTAAAGTGCCCATTCTCGACAAGGATAACAACAGGTACGAGAGAGCAGAGCAGGTATACAGGTGCCCATATTGAATCGGTTGAGAGCAGGCAAACAGGCAAGCGGCTGCCAACATGCGGTGCATTGCACAGGCGCCCAAGCTGAAGGTGTCTCTCCTGATGAGGTCCCCAAAGTGCCAATCGTGGACAAGAACAACAACAGGTACTGCTCTTCCTGGTAAATGAAAGGGAGAGGAGGAGCAGGTGGGGCTGGGTGAGCAGGTAGCATGCAAGCAGGCTGCCAACATGCGGTGCATTGCAGAGGCGCCCAAGCTGAAGGTGTCTCTCCTGATGAGATTCTCAGAGTGCCTATTTTGGACAAGGACAACAACAGGTGTGGGGTGAACGAGGGTGGGAGGAGGGGGGGGAGGGGTGGGGCTGGATAAACGTGCAGCAGGCAATCAGGCCTCCCACATGCGCGGAGGCGCCAAAGCTGAAGCTGTGCTCTGATGTGATCCTGAAGGTGCCCATTCTGGACAAGGATTACAAGAGGTGCGGGGTGAACGAGGGTGGCGCAGGGTAGGTGGGGGATCAGTGAAAGTGAGAGCAAGAGGGTGGATGAGAATGGGAGCAAGAGCGGGTGGAGTTGAGATTAGGGTGAGACCAGGAGTGGGTGGAGAGGTGCCAAGCTCAGTTCACTCTTCTCCATTTTGAAGCTCCCCTTCCGCCCATTCCTCCTTCCCACCCTCCCCCTCCTTCCTCCCCCTCCCCCCCCCACCCTTACTCTTGTTTCCCCAGCTCTGAGAGCACGTTGAGTCAGATGGTGACTGAGAGACGGCCCATGCTCTACCCACACTCACTTAAAATATTCCTGTGTCCCCTTTCCTCTCCTCCCTCTTCTGGTTCTCCAACCCCCCATCCACAACCACTAGCTCTGGGCGCACGTGGAGTCAGATGGTGACTGAGAGACGGCCCAAGCGCATCAAGAAGCTGAAAAACTCAGGGTCGAGGGATTATATGGATGATCTCATGTTGTTCAAGCCCACTCCCGCGCCATGTCACGCCCTCTGCCCACATGTCTCCTCTTACAAGCGCCATCCGGCCCCTTGGCACTTCTTCCCCTGCTCCCCTCCCTTATTCCCATCCACTTTCCCTACCGATCCTACCCCACCCCCCTTCCCACACCCCTTCACCCAACCCCAGCTCTGGGCGCACATGGAGTCAGATGGTGACTGAGAGACGGCCCAAGCGCATCAAGAAGCTGAAAAATTCTGGGTCGAGAGACTATATGGATGATCTCATGTCATTCAAGCCGCCCCGTTGGGAGAAGAGCCCTTATTTCTGGGTGGCCTTTTCAGTTTGGCTTACCATGGTGGCCGTTGCTCTCATGTTCCAAGACTAGAGACGAGGCAGCATTGTAGCAAAGTTTGAGTCGAGGGAAATTTCGAGAGATGACCCCAGCCATGTCAATTGGACTTCTGGTCGGTAAAAGGCCATCGATGTCATTTGCGTGTCCAATGTTAGGGGTTAACACTCCTGACTTGTGGGAACTCTTTCTTGTGCACATTGCACTAGTGTTTGAATGCATTGGCAGGTACACGACAATGTTTATTGAATGTACTTACGCTTACCCTAACTGGTGTGTTCTTATCAGCCAACATGCTCGGATGGACTGGCGTGCATGAGGATATCATGTTACACGGATTCTTGAAAATACCTTAGTCTGAACTAGACGAATACGACTTGAAAATGTTATTGCGCTTTCTTTCGCGCTATGCATTCATCGACGCTGTTTCATGTCGCGTACAGTGAAGACATCCAATAATCCCAGGCTGATCAGGATTCAGACGCTCCTTGAAACTAGTCTAGCAGTTCTTTTGTTCTCTCCCAGTACATCGCGTTAGAAATCTCGTAATCGAAGCCTCCTTTTGTTTGTTCCATTTTTATTGGTCGAAGAGTTTCATCCAAGTGAGAGTGCTGGTGTGAATGGATGAGATATCTTGCTCCGCCGGTTTACGTTCGGATGACGCAACAGATTCGCCGACGCTGAATCAGCAGTCCGAGCTGGTTCGGCAGCAGCTTCGGTGCCGAGGCTTGGAGCCGTTTCGCGTAGGTCGAGTGTCCTCTATATACGTGGTCCCGGAGTACCTTACAAAGCAGGAAGAGCAACTGCTGATATCACAGGTGAGCAGATTCAAGGTTGCAAATTTACGTTTCCTGTCATTCACTTTCGTGTTTACGCGCTGACTCCTCGTGCTGGCGTTCCGCCACGTCATCCCGGCCATCAGGTTGCGTCAGCACCAGTCACGAAATGGAAGAATGTCACAGGCAGAAGATTGCAGAGCTGGGGTGAGCGGCTAGGAATACGTCGGGTGTAAGGGGATAAGGGTATGGGATGGATACGTTTTTCATTGTGAGTCGACTCAAAATTCGGGTGTAAGGGGATAAGGGTATGGGATGGATGCGTTTTTATTTGTGCCACTCTGCCGCCTTATGTCTGCTGCAGGTTGTTGAGCTTCTTTTTCCATATTCTTTAGAGTAAACTCCTTAGAAGGGTAAACTTAAGTCCACTATCTCTCTCCGTGTGTCCTTCATGTCTGCTGCAGGCGGCGTGGTGCATGATAAGGGGCTCATAGCTCAACCCTGTGAGTGTGATTCTAACTGGGTGGGTGTGATAATAACTGGGTGGTTGTGATTGTGACTGGGTGGGTGTGAATATGACCTTTGTCATTCTTTGTATCATTCTTTGTATCTGGGTGGGTGGATTCTTCGTATCTTTCTTCCTTTTCCATCCAGCTCACAACTTCCCTCCCATCTCACATTCCGTCAACCTTTGGTGCGCTACCTGTGTCTAGTCTCGTTCCTGCATACTCTATCAACCCGCTATCCGCACATCCTCTCCCATCCTCTCTTTCTTGTCTTGTCTTATCTCAATCAGTGCCGCAATGGCTGCAGCACTTCACATCTCGCCTCTCAGCGGATCTCAACAGCGTCTTCCCCTCCCCCATCAACCACGTGCTTGTGAACGAGTACCTGGGGGGCCAAGGTATCATGGTGAGTGGAGTGGAGTGGAGTGGAGTGGAGTGGAGTGGAGTGGAGTGGAGTGGAGTGGAGTGGAGTGGAGTGGAGTGGAGTGGAGTGAAGTGGAGTGAGCGCCACTGTAAGCGCCACTGTGCGTGCCACTGTGCTGCAACCACGATGGCTGCAGCACTTCACAGATCGCCTCTCAGCTGACCTCAGCAGCGTCGCCCCCTCCCCCATCTACCACGAGCTCGTGAATGACTGTCGTGAAGGGCAGGGCATCATGGTGAGTGGAGAGACAAGAGTTCCATATCTTTTCCTCCTGCAATATTACACCAGCAAGGTGCCTTTGTTTGAACAGTGGCAGCACCGATTGTCAACACCTAGTCGTCCCCTTTCCTTTCCCTGCTCCCCCGCTCATTCTCCCGTCCCGCAGCCACACCGGGACGGCCCCGCCTACTTCCCCTGTGTCGCCATACTGTCTGTCCGCCTGCCTGGAACCATGTCGTTCTCTCCACATCAGAGTCTGGTCGACGATGCTTGTGAAGGGACTTCAATGCACACCTCTCCTTCCTCTTCCACCCCCAGCCACACCAGGATGGCCCCGCTTACTTCCCCTGTGTCGCCATACTCTCTCTCGGCCTGCCTGGAACCATGTCGTTCCCTCCACACCAGAGGCTGTTGGAAGGCAGCAGGGAGGGCAGCAGAGAGAGCAGTGAGGGTGCTTGTGATAGGGCTTTGGCTCTGCTGGAGGAAAGGAGAGAGGAGAGGGAGGGTGGAGCTGAAAGGGCGGAATTTGGGAAGGATGAAATGGGACGAGCAGAGGCAGGCGAGCGGGGATTGTCTAGCCATGCAGTGGTGATGAGGGAGAGCGTGGCTTTGCCTCCTCGAAGCCTGTTGGTGTTTAAGGATCAAGCATACACAGGTGAGCTGGTTTGGTGTGGGGATAGTGTGTGGTTTTACCTTCTAGGGCAACTCGAGAGGGGACTGGAGTGGTGATGAGGGAGAGCGTGGCTTTGCCTCCTCGAGTTTTGCTCATGTTCAAGAATCAAGCGTACACAAGTGACCTTGTTTGGGGAGAGGCAGGCGAGCACAGTTCATACGGGATGCAGTGGTGGTGAGGGAGAGTGTTGCTGTGCGGCGTGAGACAATGTTTCTTCATCGTTGATTACTCCACGTAAAGCTCCTCGTTTGCGTAACATTGCTATCCCAGGAACTCGAGCAGCCAAACCTGTTGCTCCTAAGTGCCGTTGTGGGAGATATTTTTAACATGCAGGTAGTTGTGCAAGTTAAGCCGTTGAACAAGTGGGAAAACGACATTGGCAACTGTAAGTGTATCGCAGTTGATCCCAGCTCATAATCGCTCCATATCTTAACGAAGCCTGTTTGAAGGCCTTTCTTCTTTTACTATATCGCCAACGAAGACACGCGGCAGGTGAAAAAGAAATAGTTTCACCTGCCGCGTGTCTTTGTCGGCGATATAGTCAAAGAAGAAAGACTTTGAAACAGTCTTCGTCAAGATATGGAGCGATTTTGAGCTAGGATCAACTGCGATACACTTGTGGTTGCCTATGTTGTTTTCCCGCTTGTTCAACGGCCTAGCTCGCACGACTACCTGCACGTTAAAGATAGCTCCCACAACGGCACTAGGGTCCAGACCTCCTGAGCGGTGACGTTCTAACACCACCATGTTTAAAAACTAGGGCATGAACTGATCAGACAACCTGCGGGTAGTTCAATTGATCGGGTTAAAAAATTTAACGCTGACGAGGAGATCGACGCAGAGTAAGGAAACTTTGACTTATTCTAAGATGCCTGGAGTGGTGGTGCAAGAGTGTTTGGCTGTGTTCCTCGAAGCCTTCTCGTGTTCAAGGATCAAGCATGCACAGGTGAGGTGGATGTGTGAAAGGGGAATGGGGGAGCGGGGTGCATACGGGGATGCAGTGGCGGAGAGTTTGTGGCTGTGCCAACAAAGGCATCCCCAGAGATGCTTAGAGTGGTGGTGATGAGGGAGGGAGGGAGAGTGATGCTCTGCCTCCTCAAAGCCTGCTCGTGTTCAAGGATCAAGCATACACAGGGGTTAGGTGGGCGTGTGAAAGGGGTGAGGGGGAAAAGGGATGTGGGGCTGATGGGGGGCAAGAGGGGGGTGGCATGGCAGGATGACGTGGGAAGATGGCAGGGGGTCGTCAGTGTTAGTAGACCACCGTGTAATGTCAAGCATAGAGTGGGAGGATGGATGACGAGCTTGCTGGTCGGGAAAGGAAAGGGTTAAAGTGCACGTAAAATAAGAATACAATTTAGTCCTAATTTGGAATGTGTAACCCCCCTCTGTTTCTTCTCTGCGATTTGCACTGGCAGATTACCTTCATTCGGCTACTACCTGTGGGTCAAGCGAAGCTGTTTTGAATGAGTTTCCTTCATCAGGCAATCCTGTCCGCATATCTTTTACATGTAGATTCGTTCCTCGTACCATGAAAGCTGTCTTCAAGATGAGGTGAATTCAGAATCTATGTCAGAAATGTACTGATTCAACCAGTCAACGGTTCAGCTCATTGAAAAAACGGAGAAAACAAGCTTACTCGACTACAAACGGGACAATTCAAAACGGAGATTCCCAAATCTGCCCCTCATAAATTGCCTGTCCCTCCCACGGTCCACACTCAGCATCCATCATTCAGCATTCCCAATGCTCAAAATCCCCGCGATCGGCATTCCCAGAGCTGCGTCTGGCTTCCTAGCTTTCATCGGTTGAGCCTCTCAGCTGCGCGAAGCCCAGCACGGATTGATCACAATCTTCCTCTCAATGGCCTTTCTTCGCATTTCTTCCGCCGCTCTCCTCTCGTCTCCGCCACTCCCCTGCGACGGTCGTGTCACACTTCCGCGCTCTCTCCCCTCTTCGCGCCTCGCCTTCCGCGTTGCTCCCGCTTTTCGACCATCCATCACCGCCTCTAGCAACCATACTTTCGGCGAGCAAACTCCCTCCACTGCAACTCCCGCTTGCTTTGATCCCTCTCGGGCCGTCATTGAGACTGCGACTGTCACAACTCGACGCGCAGCTTTAATCGGGCTGTCAGCGGTGATCGCGGCGCAATGCGCGGGCGGAAGCGGAGCAGCGGCAGCAGCAGGGGGGGACGGAAAACAGCGGGGTCTATCTGTCGAGCAAGTGAAGGTGTGACTGAAACGCGTATGATTGAATCGAGCGAACGAGGTGTATAATCAACTAAGTTGTCAACATAGCACCTCTCTCAGTGAAACATCATGCTCAGCAAGCTTAGCTCAGTATTGATCGCCGGGACGATTGTGATGGCAGGATATTATCGCACGTGACATCAGCGAGGGCCAGTACTTCGTTACAGGGGACCTCACAGCCTCTGTTTATCGCGATGACTGCAGGTGCGCGAATTTATATTCTTGCGTCATCTTCCAAAAATTGACGGTGCTAGAATGGATAGTGTGGGAAATCATGTAACAAAGAATGCGCAACGTAACAGCCTTGATAGCACAGTGCCAAGCTGCATGATGCTGATTGGACGAAGCACCCCCTCTCTTCCCATATTCAACACTGCAATTTCGTTCCGGTGTACTGCAACGGATGAAATGCTCTGCTTCTAAGAGATTCACCACTTCAGCATAACCAACGAGACCTTATCAAACTTTAGTGTTTCTACCTCGTAGACCATGCACATTGCCTTACGTCTCTTCTTGTAACACCCTTGAAGATCCAATCTGTACTCCATACAAGCATCCCCGTTGCAGGTTCAAGGATCCAACCAATGACACATCTGGTTTGGCGCGCTACCTGGCTGCTGTGAGCATTCTCTTCGACCCGGCATTCTCCAAGCAGGAGCTGCTCTCCATCGCAGTTACCTCTGACAAATCAGTCACTGCCACATGGCGGCTTGGCGGGTAAATTCGGGGAAATAGCATTGACTCATGCCTTGTTCTGTCTGTCATTGCAATTTCTTTGACTGTCAAAGCCCCAGAGAACACGGAGGTGTATTTTGAGGCGCCTCAAAATACACCTCGAGGCCCCAGAGAGCACACTGTTTCTCTTACTTTCTCCTCTTCCCTCCTCTTTGCAACCACTCTCCACCCCTCACATTCCTTGCTCACCTTTTCACCCCGCTCCCAACCCCGCAACATCCTCCACCCCACCACGCAACATCCTCCACCCCACCCCCTTGCTGATTTCCCTTCATTCTATGGCTTCTGCTTGGTTGTCACGAATCCATGCAGGTACCTCAAGTTTCCTTGGCAGCCCAGGGTCGAGCCATTCACAGGTATGATCTGTGTTTATTCTGACATGGAAGTGGACAATTCACTTGTTTTTTTGTTTTGTGTTGTATGACTATTTCCACTGTACCACCTTCACCTTTGTGCTGCTAATAACACAGGTTCCACTGTATACGAGCTGGATGACGACAACCTAGTGGCGGTGCACAATGAGACGTGGAGCATATCGCCAATCACTGCACTCATCGAAACCTTCACGCCTACTTTTGGCCCCAAACAACTACAGTGACTTCAGATTGTGCACAGTAACTTCAGATGGTGCAATACAGCCGAACCTGTCCCTTGTGACTGCTAACACGACCTAGGTGGTGAAAAGTGGTACTAAGCATTTTGACTGCTGCTGTAGTGTACATGAGTGATTTAATTTTATAGCGAGTATCTGGATTCACGAGGACCTTTCCCGCCTCCCCCTCCACCAGCCAACACCAGCCTTCATGACTGGTCTCCCCTAGCCCAGTAAACGCTGGAGCTAGTATCAATCAAAACCCGATTCAATCGTCAAAAAACGCTGTTAATCCCATCCAACCGCATTGCAGTGAGCACTTGGCCTGGTCGCAAACAATCGGGCAAACCAACCAACCAACATCACCCAAAAGCTCCCTCGAGACTCTACAGGAGGTATTATCGGGGGATTGCCGAGCGGATTAGAGCCGAACGGATTAGAGCCGAGGCGAGAAAATCACGCTGGGTCAGCTCAGAAGCCGATTGGCTGATTCAATTGCCTGCTGCGTACGCGGTAGAAAACGCGATTACTAGCCGCGCGTGCAGCACCGTCAGGCTCGGATTTCCGAACCACCGACTAGGAAGGTAGCTGGTTCCAGTGCGTTTCCTCGCCATCTGCGTGTGGATTGGGTGTGGTGATTCTATTGTCGACGCGGACGCGAAGCCGAGCTGTGTTGCAATAGCGAGGGTGTAAGAGAGTACGGATGTGGCGTACAAGGACGTTAAGGAGGCGTTCGTACGGCTTACATTGTAGAATCAGCACCATCGGCAACAGCAGCAACAGTACCAACAGGAGCTTATAGCCCTCTCATAGCTTTCGAATAGTCGTCCCTCGTTACAGGCTCCGTCGCCTACTTTTGTTAGCACGGCTTCGTCTCAGCCGTTTTCAATTCAGGATTTGTCAAAATTTAACGTTTTTTTTTTTTTTTAGAATTCTTGATCTTGTAGTGGGACAGCTATGTCGAAGCAGCCGACAGCAGCGCTGCCGCCTTACCCGGATAGGTTCTACATCGCGGCGCGGTACGCGGCGATCCCGGGGACGGTGGACATTCCCGAGGGCGCGGGCAACTCCACGCAGTACTCGGACCTCACGTGCCTCGCGCTCTACTCGCTCTACCAGCAGGTGCGTACCAGCAAGTGCGTAACTGCAGGTGGGGTGCGGTTGTGTGGTGTGTGGTGGTGCAACATGAGCCTCGGTCCTCACGTGCCTCGCGCTCTACTCGCTCTACCAGCAGGTGCGTTGTGTGGTTCGTGTTGCGTGTTGCATGGTGCGAGGTGTTTGGGTCATGCTTCATGCGTTACTATCAGCGATGTTCAAGTTCAAGATGCATGCACTATGCTGACTTGTGAGTCGACTCAAAACTTTTGAGCTGACTTTTGAGTCGACTCAAAAGTGCGTTGTGTGGTTCGTGTTGCCTGTTGCATGGTGCGAGGTGTTTGGGTCATGCTTCATGCGTTACTATCAGCGATGTTCAAGGTGCATGCACTTTCCGCTTGCACGCCACTTGCCTTTCCCCCCCTCTGCTGCAGGCGTTACACGGCCCGTGCGATGTTACAATGCCAGGCTATGGCCGTAATTTTGGCCGCCTGGATTTCTTACAGTGACTGTAGCCTTGTTTGGCCGTCGTTTACCCAATGTGCTAACACGTTACTTTCCTTGCTCGTGCTTCCTTCCCTTTCCCTACTGCAGGCGGTACACGGGCCATGCCCCGAGCGCAAGCCATGGGCGTGGTGGTCGCATTGCAGCCACTCGTGCTGATATACCCCTACCTCTCTGCGTCTTTCCCCTTCCCCATCTGTGCTGCAGGCGGTACACGGGCCATGCACCGAGCGCAAGCCATGGGCGTGGTGGTCGCATTGAAGCCACTCGTGCTGATATACCCCTACCTCTCTGCGTCTTTCCCCTTCCCCATCTGTGCTGCAGGCGGTACACGGGCCATGCACCAAGCCCAAGCCATGGGCATGGAACATAGTGGAGCTCGCCAAATGGCAGAGGTGGGTGGTGGGTGGGTGGATTAGTCAGATCAAAGGGCCAAGTTTGGGCCAAATGGCAGAGGTGGGTGGTGGGTGGGTGGATTAGTCAGATCAAAGGGCAAAGTTTGGGCCAAATGGCAGAGGTGGGTGGTGGGTGGGTGGATTAGTCAGATCAATGGGCAAAGTTTGGGCCAAATGGCAGAGGTGGGTGGTGGGTGGGTGGATTAGTCAGATCAAAGGGCAAAGTTTGGGCCAAATGGCAGAGGTGGGTGGTGGGTGGGTGGATTAGTCAGATCAAAGGGCAAAGTTTGGGCCAAATGGCAGAGGTGGGTGGTGGGTGGGTGGATTAGTCAGATCAAAGGGCAAAGTTTGGGCCAAATGGCAGAGGTGGGTGGTGGGTGGGTGGATTAGTCAGATCAAAGGGCAAAGTTTGGGCCAAATGGCAGAGGTGGGTGGTGGGTGGGTGGATTAGTCAGATCAAAGGGCAAAGTTTGGGCCAAATGGCAGAGGTGGGTGGTGGGTGGGTGGATTAGTCAGATCAAAGGGCAAAGTTTGGGCCAAATGGCAGAGGTGGGTGGTGGGTGGGTGGATTAGTCAGATCAAAGGGCAAAGTTTGGGCCAAATGGCAGAGGTGGGTGGTGGGTGGGTGGATTAGTCAGATCAAAGGGCAAAGTTTGGGCCAAATGGCAGAGGTGGGTGGTGGGTGGGTGGATTAGTCAGATCAAAGGGCAAAGTTTGGGCCAAATGGCAGAGGTGGGTGGTGGGTGGGTGGATTAGTCAGATCAAAGGGCAAAGTTTGGGCCAAATGGCAGAGGTGGGTGGTGGGTGGGTGGATTAGTCAGATCAAAGGGCAAAGTTTGGGGGGTAAAGATAGACGTGGGCCTTGTATCAAGCCCAAGCCATGGGCATGGAACATAGTGGAGCTCGCCGAATGGGCTCGCCAGCTGGCAGAGGTGGGTCTTCCATTCCACACCATACTGGATTAAGCAAAGAAGATCTAAGGGCTGGTCGGTGTGTAAAGGTAGACGCGCGTAGGTTAGGCAACAGGCCGAAGCATTAAGCGTGGAACATAGTGGAGCTCGCCAAATGGCAGAGGTGGGGGTGTGATTATAGCAGTGGCAGGAAGGAGGGGGGTTCTGTAAGAGACAACCAAGAGGGCAGTGCATAGCAGAATCTTTGCTGCTTCCTGAGAGGTGGACTGTGTTCGCTCTCTCTCACCATCAGCATCAGTCAATGGCTGTGATCTGTCCACCGCATCACATGCTGCTGTACCACACCACACCCCACAGCACCTCTTCCCGCCCCCATGGTTCTCCTCACTCACTTCCCCCCCTCCCTTCTTATCGTTTCACTTGCACTCTATTGTCCTGTCTTGCCACTATTCCATTGCCTCTCCGTGAGAGAGTCTCTCACCTCCCCCTTGTCCCCCGTGCTCGCCTCACAATGCAGCTGGATTGAGCTGGGAAGAATGGCCCCAGTGAAGGTGATTTTTGAGCCTACTCAAGCGTCCTCCCCATTGTTCCCCCATGCTCGTCTCACCCTGCAGCTGGACGGAGCTGGGTGGGTAAGATGGCGCCAGTAGAGGCCATGCGGCTGTTGAAGCTCCTAAGAAGTCGTCCCGCCTCAACTTCACCCCACCTCCTCCTTGTCTTATCAAATCTGCTCCCAATGCGTGTCGCATTACAGTTGGACAGAGCTGGGAAAGATGGCGCCAGTAGAGGCCATGCGGCTGTTTGTGCGTGCGCTGGAGGTGAGACTGTCATCTCTGTCTCTTTCGGAAACAGACACATGTTGACTTTTGAGGGGCCTCAAAAATGGCGCCAGTAGAGGCCATGCGGCTGTTTGTGCGTGCGCTGGAGGTAAGACTCTTTGTCCTCGTGAATGACAGACGCCTGAGACTCAGAGGTTGAGAGAGGTTGAGAACGGTTGAGAAACATCCAGAGGTGGTCGAGGCACCTGATTGCGCACCATAGCAGAGGCTTGTTCTAGAGCCTGACTTGTGAGTTGGCACAAAAGTCTTCCCGGCAGGCAGAGACGCATGGAAAAAGCCCATGCCACACAGACAGAGAGTGTCTAAGCACTCGCCAGGAGGACTCTCAAGCACTCACAAGGACTTGTGAGTTTCCTCAGAAATCATCTCGCTGGTCATGTGGTTTCCTGTGCCGCAATGATTGTACGTGTTTCCTCTTTCTCCCTTACTGTCTCTCCGCCGTGTGGTGTTGTGTTGTTAGGAGGAGGACCCGAATTGGTGGACCAACGCACAATTGATGGAAGCAGCTGACCCGGTATGCACGTTTTTCTTCTCCATTTTTGGGTTGTTCCTCGTTCTTTCGTCCATCTTTGGTGATTGCACCTTGTGCTATATGCCTTTGTGTGCTCACTCCTCCACACTCGCCCCTCCACACTCGCTCCTCCACACTCGCCCCTCCACACTCGCTCCTCCACACTCGCTCCTCCACACTCGCTCCTCCACACTCGCCCCTCCACACTCGCCCCTCCACACTCGCTCCTCCACACTCGCCCCTCCACACTCGCCCCTCCACACTCGCCCCTCCACACTCGCTCCTCCACACTCGCCCCTCTACACTCGCCCCTCCACACTCGCCCCTCCACACTCGCTCCTCCACACTCGCTCCTCCACACTCGCTCCTCCACACTCGCTCCTCCACACTCGCTCCTCCACACTCGCCCCTCCAAACTCGCCCCTCCACACTCGCTCCTCCACACTCGCCCCTCCACATTCGGCCCACCACATGCTCCACCACAATCACCTCACCACATTCGCCCCACCACACTCGCTCCTCCACTCTCGCCCCACCACACTCGCCCCATCACACTCGCCCCACCACTCTCGCCCCACCACACTCGCTCAATTGTTAGGAGGCCTTGAGAAGAGAAACTTCTAGGAACTCTTGTCCTGCACTTGATTTTTTCACCCCCCCGCTCCCACTCCTGCACTCCCTCCTTCCCTTCCCCTCTCCCCCATGCAACCACCCCCTCACACACAGCATGCAGCAGCAGCAGTCGCAGAGGGGTACGACAGGGGTTACTCAGAGCGCTATGCTGCAAAGGGAGGGCTTCCTTGCAATGAACGGCGCGGTTTTATTGAAATCACTTTTGAGAATTCTCAAAAATGCAATGAACGGCGCGGTTTCCCCCTGTGTGATCCTGTGGTGGATAGCCTTAGGCCTTCATTTCATCCTCTTTTCCCTCCGCTTCTCCCCCCACCACTCCTCTTCCCCATGCCACACACAGCTTGCTGCAGCAGCAGCAGCAGCAGTCCCAGAGGGGTATGGCAAAGGCTATCCAGACGCCTATGCTGCTGAGGGTTTCCCTGCAATGAACGGCGCTGCCTTCCCCCGGGGAACTGCGAGGGAGGTGCCTTATCCCTTCATTTTAACCGCTCCTTCACTCCCTCCTGGCTTCTTTACTCCCTGCCCGCACCACAGCTTGCTGCAGCAGCAGCAGCAGCAGCAGCAGTCCCAGAGGGGTATGGCAAAGGCTATCCAGACGCCTATGCTGCTGAGGGTTTCCCTGCAATGAACGGAGCTGCATTCCCCCGAGGGCCCCCTGTGGTGGAGGACATGGGGGTGATGGCAGTGCTGCGCGCACATGACTGCATCAACAAGTGGGTCGCTGCTCCCGTGACTGGAAGGAAACCCTCTGCCAGATACCAGGTGAGCTGCTGGTGCTGTCGGCCTGGGGCTGCACCCTCTCCGCCCACCTTCCCCACACGCCCCCCCTGTGGAGTGGAGGAGGATACGGGGGTGATGGCAGTGCTGCGCTCCCACGAGGTGACTTTTGAGTCGACTCAAAAGTCACCTTCCCCACACGCCCCCCCTGTGGAGTGGAGGAGGATACGGGGGTGATGGCAGTGCTGCGCTCCCACGCCTGCATCGACAAGTGGGTCGCTGCTCCCGTGACCGGGAGGAAACCCTCTGCCAGATGCCAGGTGAGGAGAGGGAGGGAGTTGCTGCTGCTGCTGCTGCTGGACTGACCATGAGAAGGAAGGAAAGAATCAGGTGGTGGCCTGATTCTTTTGCGCACGTGATATGCCTCTCTCCCTTTTCTACCTTTCACCCCCAACTTCTCTCCCGCCCTTTTCCCCGCTTCCCTCACCCTGCTTCTCTTTCCCCTCTGCCCCTCTCTATGCGTGCAGCACGCAGCAGAGATTTTGGATGGAAGAATGTACGTGGTGGGGGGGAACAGGGCGAGGTTCACCAGCGACGTGCATGTGATAGGCCTGTTTCCTTTCCCTCTTTATCCCTTCCTCGTCCTCCGTCCCCTCTCCCCCCTTCCCCACCTCCTGTGTGCAGCATGCAGCGGAGATTTTGGATGGCAGGATGTACGTGGTGGGGGGCAACAGGGCGCGGTTCACCAGCGACGTGCATGTGTTGGACCTCGCATCCCTCGCCTGGTCCAAGATGGAGCTCTCTTCGCCTGCCAATGCTCTCCCCCCTTGTGCTGGGCACAGCCTGGTAAGTGTGTTCTTTCTGCGGGGTATGGGTGTGTGCTGACGTGCATTTGTTGGACCTCGCATCCCTCGCCTGGTCCAAGATGGAGCTTTCTTCGCCTGCCAATGCGCTCCCACCTTGCGCTGGGCATAGCCTGGTACGTGTAGGTGGGTGGGCGTCTGCGTGTGTGTTATGAGCATGTGAGAGTTGTGTTGTGTCACTGCACTGCACTGCACTGCACTGCACTGCACACAGTGACGTGCATGTGTTGGACTGAACCTCCCATCGCTCTCCTGGTCCAGGTGTATTTTGAGTCGACTCAAAATACATGTGGGCGGGCGTCTGCGTGTGTGTTATGAGCATGTGAGAGTTGTGTTGTGCGACTGCTCTGCACTGCACACAGTGACGTGCATGTGTTGGACTGAACCTCCCATCGCTCTCCTGGTCTAAAATGAACCTCTCTTTCCCAGCCAACGGCCTTCCCACATGCACTGGGCATAGCCTGGTAGTTGTGCCCAGTGCAGTGCATGTCCAAGACATGCATGTCGTCCTTGTGTTTTATGTGCATGTGACTGTCGTGTGCATGTGACTGTCGTGTGCATGTGACTGTCGTGTGCATGTGACTGTCGTGTGCATGTGACTGTCGTGTGCATGTGACTGTCGTGTGCATGTGACTGTCGTGTGCATGTGACTGTCGTGTGCATGTGACTGTCGTGTGCATGTGACTGTCGTGTGCCTGTACTTCACCCACAAGGAGGACATGCATGTGTTGGATCTTGCCTCTCTCGCCTGGTTGAAATTGGAGCTTTCCTCCCTTGTTTCCTCCCTCCCACTATGCAGGTCATATTAGACGAAGTGACTCTGCTGTGCATAGGAGGGTTCTTGAGGTGACTTAGAGTCACCGTTGAGTTATGCTTCTTCTCCGCTCCCTTTGCTCATCCCAAATCCCTCCACTACGCAGGTCATATTAGACGAAGTGACTCTGCTGTGCATAGGAGGGTTCTTCAAGGATGGTTCTGAGAAGATGATAGGTAAGATGGTTGAGATGGGTGGGGTGGGTTGCAGTGGTCGTAGTGTCACTTGACTCCCCCATTATCAGGTCATTCTAAACGAGGTGAATCTGCTGTGCATAGAAGGGTTCTTTAAGGATGGTTCAGAGAAGATGATCGGTGAGAGAGGGTTGAGATGGGTGGGAAGGGGTGCAGTGGTCACATCGTCACACCGTCAGGATCTTTGGACTTTTCAAGGGTGGTGCAGAAACGATGACGCGTGAGGTTTGACGACGTTCTGGGTATATTTTGGTAACTGTACTCGAAAGCACACCATGTGACACTGAGCCTGCAAAGGTAAGTTCCTGTGGCAGTAATTATAACAAAAAATAGTTCCTGTTCTGTTTGTGTGTTCTTCTTCTTTCATCTCACGGCATGGCAGTGCGGGCATTGGATGTGAGCACCAAGATGTGGCGGGTGATGAAGACCCGCGGCCAAATACCTGTGAGTGCAGTGCAGTGCACAACACACCCCACAGCCGTAGTCTGTGGTAGGCCCTCTCTTGCCCCCAACACTTGCATCCCACGGCATAGCAGTTCAGGCACTGGTTTGGATGTGAGCACCAAGATGTGGAGGGTGATGAAGACCCGCAGCCAAATACCCGAAAGTGCACACCACACCCCACAGCCGTAGTGGGTTGGGTTGTTTTATGACTTTTGGGACGTCTCAAAAGTGGGCTGGGCTGTTTTCTGTTGTACATTTTTGTTGCTTACTTATCCTCCCGTTTCTGTCGTTGTTGTTCACATAGAAAACACTCTGCCTGCCCCACCTACCTATCTGACCTGTGCTTTCTCATTCCCTTTTTGGGAATCACTTTTGAGAATTCTCAAAAGTAACTCTGCCTGCGCCACCTACCTATCTGACCTGTGATCTCTCATTCCCTACTTTCTTTTTTCATCCTGGCATTCACATCCCTGTTGTCTGCAGTGTGCAAGGGGAGGCCACAGCACAGCCAAAGTGGGGTCAACGGTGTGGGTGTTTGGAGGGGAGGACAGCAAGAGACGGCTGCTCAACGACGTGTACAGCCTGGACCTCACCACCTTCGTGTGGGACAAGCTGGACACCACGTGAGTGTGCCGGTGGTTGTTTGCTGGTAAAAGTGCTGGTAAAACAACACGGTGGTGGAGTTTGTGGAGGGAAGGACAGCAATAGGCGGCTGCTCAACAATGTGTACAGCCTGGACCTCACCACGTGAGTGTGGGACAAGCTCGACTCGACACCACACAGCAACACCATGGGAATGGGAATGGGGGTGCTCCTCTCCCACCCACTCACGTGGTGTACACCACCTCACCCTCTAGCTCACTCACATCCTTTTGAGTCGACTCGAGTTTTGAGTCGAGTCGACTTTTGAGTCGACTCAAAAGTCACATTCCCATTACTGTGTACACCACCTCACCCTCTAGCTCACTCACATCCTTGCCTTCTCCTTTCCCTGCCATCCCTTTCCTATTCCCTTGTCTCACCAGAGAAACACCACCTGTGCACAGGGCGGGACACACAGCAACAGTGTACAACGAGCACTACCTCACCATCTGGGGGCGGCTCATACTCGCTCACACCACTGCCTTCTCCGTGCTGTATCCTCCCTCCCTTGATCCAGAGGAACGCCCCCACTGCCCAGAGCAGGCCACACAGCAACGGTATACAATGAGCATTACTTGACCATCTTTGGGGGCGGCTCCCACTCCATGTGCTTCAACGACGTGCATGTGCTGGATTTAGACGCGGTAAGGGCCTAGACGCGGTAAGAGCCTAGACGCGGTAAGAGCCTAGACGCGGTAAGGGCCTAGACGCGGTAAGAGCCTAGACGCGGTAACAGCCTAGACGCGGTAAGGGCCTAGACGCGGTAAGGGCCTAGACGTGGTAAGAGCTACCTCATTGTATAATATCAGGGTGTCGGTTGGCGCTCTCACCTCCCATCTCTCCCACTCCATGTGCTTCAACGACGTGCATGCGCTGGACCTAGACGCGGTAAGAGCCTAGGGTAGCCAAGCCACTGGACGCGTTTCTCTGTATGTTATGTTCAGGGCAACATAATATGTTGCACATCGGGGTATCAGTCGAGTGGTCCCTAGCTGAGACCTATGGCAAGGTGCCCTCCCTCAGAGCTGGTCCGATGGGTCTGTAACCTCTTTCTCACAACCCTCCTCTCCCCGTGGCAAGGTGCCCTCTCCCCGTGCAGGGCTGGTGGGCATGGCGTTTGGGAGTCGATGCTTGCTTTTAAACCTCTGCTCGGTTTTCTCTTTCCTCTCCCGCCCTACCTCCTCCAACCCTTTTCTACCCTCTTCTATCCGCCCCTTTTTCCCTTTTCAACCAGGCCGAGTGGTCCCTGGCTGAGACCTATGGCAAGGTGCCCTCTCCCCGTGCTGGCCTCGTGGGCATGGCGTTTGGCAGCCTGTGGTTCATCATGGGGGGAGGGGACAACTAGACTCCTTTACTCTCACTTCCCCACTCACCACTCCTCTCCTCGACACACTCTACACCCGCCCACCCTTCTTATCTAGGCCGAGTGGTCCCTGGCTGAGACGTATGGCAAGGTGCCCTCCCCCAGAGCAGGGCTGGTGGGCGTCGCATTTGGCAGCCTGTGGTTCATCATGGGGGGAGGGGACAACTAGACTCCTTTACTCTCACTTCCCCACTCACCACTCCTCTCCTCGACACACCCTACACCCTTCTTATCCAGGCCGAGTGGTCCCTGGCTGAGACGTATGGCAAGGTGCCCTCCCCCAGAGCAGGGCTGGTGGGCGTCGCATTTGGCAGCCTATGGTTCATCATGGGGGGAGGGGACAACCACGGGGGGGTATCTGAGACGATGCTGCTGGACCTTGACTCGTTAGTCTGGTCTGTGGTTACCACATCGCTCGAGAAGACCCCTCTGGCATCAGAGGTGAGTGAAGAGGTTGGAAAGATGGTAGTGTGGGAGAAACAGACAGGCATAGAAAGGGTTATAACAGCAGTGAATTAGGGGGTGTGTCTGAGACGATGCTGCTGGACCTGGACTCGCTGGTGTGGTCTGTGGTTAATATGTTATCTGAAAAGACCCCTCTTGTATCAGAAGTGAGCGAAGCAGTTGGGGTGGGTTGTGACCATTCATCGAATGCAAAGCCATTGGTTTGTATAACGACTCAAGGAGACTGTTGCTTTCATACTATAGCAAAGTTTATTATATGCTCCATTTTTACCACTTGTATCGTTCTATCTTCCCCACCAACCGCATCAAACACCCACCCTCCCAGGGTCTCTCTCGGTGGTGCCTGTGGGAACATCTCTCGGCCCTGTGCTTGTAGCGTTCGGGGGCTATAACGGGCGCTACAATAACCGTTCCGTTCTATCTTCCTCTCCCCCAAAACTTAACTCCCTCCTCTCAACCACCCAGGGTCTTTCGGTGGTACCTGTGGGAACATCTCTCGGCCCTGTGCTGGTAGCGTTCGGAGGCTATAACGGGCGGTACAATAACGAGGTATTCCTGTTGCTCCCCGACACTGTGGCGCTGCTGAGAGCAGCAGAGGAGGAGGAAGAAGCTGCGGCTGCCGCTACAACCGCCGGCGCTACAACCGCTGCAACAACTGCTGCTGCTGCCGCTACAGATAGTGCCGCTGCTGCTGCTGCTACAGCCAGTGGTGCTGCTGCTGCTGCAGGCTCGGCCACTCAACCACCCATTTCAGCAGCATCAGAAAGAAGCACTTCCCAACCTGCTGACTCCACCTCTGCATCCTCAGCTCCGGCAGCAGGTTCGGCAGCAGGTTCGGCAGCACCAACCTCCCTTCCCTCTGGCGCCGCTGCTGCTCTTGGCCCTACCCCTTCCGCACCTGCTGCTCTCCCCCCTGCCGCACCCACCACTGGATTACCCCCAGCTGCTGCTGCTGCTGCTGCTGCTGCTGGGGGCAAGCAGATGATCCGGGCAGGATCTGCGTCCAATATCATTGGTGCCGCCCCTCCAGGTGGAATCCCAGGTGGAATCTCAGGTGGAATTTCAGGTGCTGCTGCTGTTGCGATACCTGGGCACGGGCCGCCGTTGCCAGCAGGACCGGGGGCGGTGGTGGGGGTGGGAGAGGATGGGGAGCTGTCCCCCACGTCGAGGGATGCGGTGCTGCTGGCTCAGCTGGAGGAGGCAGAAGCAGCTGCCAGCAGAGCAGAGAAGGTGGCGCTCAATGTGAGTATGATGAGCAACTCAACGCATTCCACCGTAGTTGCTAGTTCTGTTCTGTGCTGTTGGGTGCTGGGCGGAGCTGTCCCCCACGTCGAGGGATGCAGTGCTGCTGGCACAGTTGGAAGAGGCAGAAGCAGCCGCGAGCAGAGCAGAGAAGGTGGCACTCAATGTGAGTCTTCTAAGTAGAGAGCTGCTAGCCCACTCTTCACTGCTAAAGCAGCCATAGCTTCTCTTGTCTTTGCTGCTCTTTCATTTTCACAATTCTCCCGCGCTCTCTCCCTCCGTGTTTCTCTCCTCCTCCTCCTCCCTCCCCCTTTCCCTCTCCTTTCCAGGCGCGGGCCGAAGCTAGCCAAACGGCTGCAGAGGCAAGGGCAGATGCATGGGCTGCCATTGCTAAGGTAAGCACGTGCAGCTGTGCTTACTTCCCCCACTTCCCCCCTTATCCTACCCTCGTGCACACCCCCGCTTCTCACCTGTTCTTATCCTCTTACCACCCCTTCACCAACCCGTAGCATCCCCAATCTTAGCATCCCCCCTCTCACCCTTTCTCCCTCCCCCTCTTCAGGCGCAGATGGAGGTAGACCTATTGAAGCAGCAACTAGCAACAGCAGTGAAGGCGAAGCAGCAGGCAGAGGATGAGATGGCGGAGGGGCAGGCCAAGGTGGTGGCGGCCCAGGCTGCTGCTGCCAGCGCCCAGGCTGAGGCGGGGCAGATTAAGAAGGACTTGAACGAGTGCAGAATAAAGGTGCGCCAAACCTGGTGTGATAAGGGACAGTGGGTCAAGAGGGTCAAAGGGGTCAAGGGGGCCAAGGGGCTGAGCGTGGGTTGAGATGGCGGAGGGGCAGGCCAAGGTGGTGGCGGCCCAGGCTGCTGCTGCCAGCGCGCAGGCGGACCAAGGGCAGAATAAGAGGTACCTGAATGAATGCAGAATAAAGGTGGGCGGTGGAGGTGGGAGAGGAATAAGAGCGAGCGAGGTGTGAGATGGGAGGGGGATAAGAGCGAGCAAGGTGTGAGATGGGAGGGGGATAAGAGCGAGCAAGGTGTGAGATGGGAGGGGGATAAGAGCGAGCAAGGTGTGAGATGGGAGGGGGATAAGAGCGAGCAAGGTGTGAGATGGGAGGGGGATAAGAGCGAGCAAGGTGTGAGATGGGAGGGGGATAAGAGCGAGCAAGGTGTGAGATGGGAGGGGGATAAGAGCGAGCAAGGTGTGAGATGGGAGAGGAATGCATGTGTGTTATTCCAACCCTATACGATTTTTGAGTCGACTCAAAAATCGACTAAGAGCGAGCAAGGTGTGGGATGGGAGAGGAATGCATGTGTGTTATTCCAACCCTATACCAATCGTGCATCTACAAATGTTACCGTCCTTCCTCACCCCACAGGTACACGAGCTAGAGGCGGAGCTGGCCAAGAAATCAGGTGCGGATGGAGTCAGGTGGCGACCCCATTGCTTGTGATTGCTTGTGATTGCTTGTGATGGTAGGAGCAGTGACTGTATCACCTGTTTTTATCAAGTGTGTCTTTACCTTTGTCACCACCCTTCCCCACCCCACAGGTGCACGAGCTAGAGGCGGAGCTGGCTAAGAAGTCAGGTGCGGATGGCGGGATGGCGACACTGCAAAAAGACTACGCTGCTCTCAAGAATGCTCTGGCTGATATGGAACAGGTGGGATGTGGGATGTGGGGTGTATGATACTTGTATGCTGTGAGATGTACGGGAAGTGGGATGTGGTGGGGAGGTGGGATGCTGGGATAAATCTGTATGTCCGGGATGGCGACACTGCAAAAAGACTACGCTGCTTTGAAGAACGCTTTGGCGGATATGGAACAGGTGGGATGTGGTGGGGTGGTTTGTGGGGGGGGGATGGGATATGTATGGAACAGGTGGGATGGGGGATAAGATAGAAGATTAGGCGAGGCTTAATAGAGCAGGCGAGGTGTTTCCAGAGCTGGCGGATCTGGAGAGGGAGGTGGAGCTGCTGCATGTGCATCCACACTACCCTGTGACCGCACTCAACCCCCTTCTTACCCTCTTCTTCCCTGCACCCCTCAACCACCCTGACCCCCACCCCGGTCCCCACCCCACCTTAAACCATAACCAGGAACTCACTACTGCCTGAACAACTCTCGCAGCGGAACAAGCGCGGTGTTTCCGGCTGGAAGTGGAGGTGGCAGATTATCGGCAGAGGCTGGCAGGCATGGCGGATCTGGAGAGGGACGTGGAGCTGCTACCCCCTCTGCTGCCCCCTCCGCTGCCCCCTCTGCTGCCCCCTCCGCTGCCCCCTCTGCTGCCCCCTCCGCTGCCCCCTCTGCACAAATTCAAGCCCCATCTTGCTCATTTTTCCTGCTCGCTTCACCCCAATCCACCCCTATCAGGAGTTGACGACAGCACGTACCACACTCGCAGCAGAGCAGGCAAGATGCTTCCGGCTGGAGGTGGAGGTGGCAGAGTACCGGCAGAGGCTGGCAGGCATGGCGGATCTGGAGAGGGAGGTGGAGCTGCTGCAGCGGCAGCAGGCTGCTGCCGATGCCATGGCTGCTGCTGCTGCCGGCAAGAAGGGGTGGTGGGGAGGAGGGAGGTGATTGAGGGTTGGAAGGGGCGATTGATGGGGAAAGGGGAAGGTGGTCTCGGTGGACGGGGAAGGGCTGGGGGGAGGGAGGAGGAAGATGGTGTTTTTTGAGGCACTTGTGAAGCAGTTGGCAGAGTACCGGCAGCGGCTGGCAGGCATAGCGGATTTAGAGAGGGAGGTGGAGCTGCTGCAACTGCCGCCAAGAAGGGGTGGTGGGGAGGGGGCAGGTGATATGAGGAAGGGGCGGAACGGTGGGGAAAAGGGAAGACGACCTAGGAAGGGGGAGAGGGAGGTGTAGCTTCTGCAGCGGCAGCAGGCTGCTGCGGCTGATGCTGGCAAGGGCAAGGGCTGGTGGGGTGGTGGAAGGTGACTGCTGGGAGAGGGAGGATTGGCTGGGAGGATGGTGATTGGGAGGAAGAGGAGTAATATGTGCTGATGCCATGGCTGCTGCTGCTGCTGCCGGCACGGGGACAGGGTGGTGGGGAGGGAGGAGGTGATTGAGTGGGGGAGGGTGTGGTGGGGAAAGGGGAAGACGATCTAGACGGGAAGAGGGAGGTGTAGCTGTTGCAGCGGCAGCAGGCTGCTCCACTGCCGGCAAGGGCAAGGGCTGTTGGAAAGGCGGGAGGTGATTGAGAGAAGGGATGTGACTAAGGGGGAGGTGGTCAATAGGGAGGCATGATGGGTGCTTAAGGAGAAACGGAAGAAACGTGTGTTGGTTGTAACACCCTTGTGTGTTTCAGAACAATCATTCGGGTGTAGTATTTACAGTATTGTTATTTTGGTCAGTTGCAGTTGGTAAAGAAAGTTCGTTGTAACAGTACAACCCTGGTTTAGAGAACAAGATCCTACTTAGCAAACGTGAACCACCAACAACATTGCCCACAAATATGAACCCTGCCCGGATTAGGTAGCACTGTAGTAACAGTAACTTAGTAAACATGTATTATCTACATAGTGAGCTGCTGCGGGCATTCTTTCGCAAATCAGGGGAACAGCTTGCATTTGCCTCGTCCAGCACTCCAAATCTGTGAGCATCTGCCTATGCTGCAGAATCCGATCCTCCTCGTAATCCTCCTGCCTCATCACCCTCCAGTGCCCATAAACCACAGCAAGCTGCAGGTGGCAATTTTTGAGTCGACTAAAAAATCGAGCTGCCGGTATGCTGCAGAATTAAAGCCTCCTCGTGGCGTAATCCTCCAGTGACCCTCCATGACCCTCCAATGCCCATAAACCACAGCAAGCTGCAGGTGACATCAAGTGAGTACCGGTATCATCAAGATTCTAAAAAAGGTGTTTGAAGAAGTGTTTTGAGACGTCTCAAAACACTTCTTCAATCAAGATTCTAAAAAAGCCACCCATAATCATGATCCTCCAGTGCCGATTTTTGAGCCGCCTCAAAAAAAGCCACCCAGAACCATGACCCTCCAGTGCCCATAAACCGCAGCAAGCCTCAACTGCTGGTTTTGACTGCACCCAGACCAGAAGCTCCTGCCTGCATGCTTCCAGCAAGTGACACGTGGCATTTGCATTGAAGGGAATTGACAGGTGGCGCTCGCATCGTCAGCAAGCGACAGCTGGCACTTGCTGCTGCCTCAGATACTCCAGTGCCTGCTGCAGAATCAGAGCCTCCTCATAATCCTCCTGACCGTTGATATGCACCCCTGCATCCCACACCTGCTTCGGCTTCTGCGGCTGCTGATGCTGTTTCTGCTGCTGCTGCAGTTTCTGATGCTGATGTTTCTGCTGCCGCTGAATCTGGATGCATGTTTTAGCAAGCGACAGCTGGCACTTGCTGCTTCCTCAGATACTCCAGTGCCTGCTGCAGAATCAGAGCCTCCTCATAATCCTCCTGACCGTTGGCATGCACCCCTGCATCCCACATCTGCTTCTTCGAGATCTGCTGCTGCAGATTCAGCTTCTGCTGCTGCTGAGTCTGTTTCTCCTTCTGCTGCTTTTGCTGCAGCAACAGTTGCTGCTGTGACTGTACAAGAGTTGACTTAGCTCCGCATGATCCCCACAGATTCTTAACATCCTTGACACAATCCTCCCTGTCAATCCAATCTCTGTCAGCACTATTTCTGTCAGCACTATTTCTGTCAGCCAGATAAAAGCCCAAACCGTCAGACGTTACACTGTTCTGTTTGCCCTGCCGGCCCTTTTCAATCTCTTCCACACTCCCTTTCAGAATCGCATCCCCATTGATCCTATCCCAGAAACTCAGACCCTTCTGCTCCTTTACCTCCACTTCCCCCCTTCCATCCCCTCCCTCCCCTGCATACTGTCCCTCCCCTCCAACCTCTCCCTCCCATTTACTCCCCCCATCCATCCCCGTTAAGAGCAGCTTCCCTACAGTCCCTTTCGATCCCTCCAGCCCTTGTAAAATCCCCTGCAGCACCCGCTCTCCCTCTCCTGCTTCGATCAAATCCGCCTGCAGCTGAGCCAACCGTTTATAGAGCTCCTCGGTAAAAGCCTTTTCTGTAAGCGCGAGCTCATGGCGAAACCCTCCTGAGTGTATCGTCCTGCCACCGCGCTCCCCTCCTGCTGCCGCTCCCCCTTCCCCCGCCGCCCTCGCCGCCCCCACCGCCGCCGCCGCCTCTTCCTCTGCTTGCAGGAAAACGACTCGCGCCTCGGCCGCCGCTGCTTCCACTTCCCACAGCCACGCCTCCGTACTCGCTACAGACATCTCCACTTGCTGCAACTCCGCCGCGGCCTCTAAACACTCGGATGCGCAAGCAGATGCCTCACCACCGCCGCCACCAGCACCAGTAGCAACAGCAGCGGCGGCGGCGGCGGCAGCGGCGGCAGCGGAGGAATGAGTTTCCGCCAATGCCTGACTCGCCTCCGCTGGCCGTTTGTCGGTGCTTGCCCGTCTGCTACTCAGCAGGCTCGTAGGAACCGAGAATGATGCCCTACCCGTGTAGCACTTATGTGTTCCCTGATTTCCGCGATTTCCAGCGATTCCCCCCTTCTCTGCTGCTCCTTTCCGCCCGCAGATCGATCCTTCCGCCCCGGCCCCCGTTTCCCCCGCGCCGACCGTTTCTACCGCGTCCGCGGCGCACCCGCCGGTGCACCTGCCTTGCGCGGCGCTGCGGCTTCTGCTGATCCCGCGCGGGGATTTCTCCGCCACGCTACGCGCGCGGACAACCCGCGTGCGCATGCCCGCCAGCTCCGCCATAACTGCGCGGACCTGCTCCTCCCGCTCCGCCAGCATTCCGCGCAGCAGCTGCAGCTGCGACCCCACCACCCGCGCCTGCAGTTCCGCCAGGTCTAGCTGCCCCTCCGCCAGTTGCGCGCGCTCCCCCAACTCTTCCGCCGACTGCGCACACGCTTCCACGTCCTCTGCCGGTGCGCATACCAGACCGGCAGGCTGTAGCACAGCCGCAGACGAAGCAACCTGCGGCTGTAGCGGCGCTACAGTCGGCGAGTGTTTGCTGTGGCCTTTTTGTCGTTTTTCTAACAAGCACAAGAAACTGGCAGGCGCGGCCGCGGGCACAGAGGCGGGGGGGGCGGAAGGGGCGGAGGCAGCGGTTGGCGGAACCACGTGCGCGGGCGCAGTCAGATTGACAGTCAGCGAATGAAAGCGCTCCGACTGACTAGAGCGCTGGCTGCAGGGTAATTGAGTGGCCTGACTCGACTCGAACACGGGCGCGTTTTCCGCTCGAGCGCTGCACTGCGCTGCCGCGTTCTCCGCTCGCGTCACAACCCGCACGACGCGCTCACACGTCACCGTTTCGTAATTGGACGAACGGAGATCTGCCATGGATTCCCGCAATGAGTTATGATGGTTATGGTCGTCATGTCGATTGGTAAGATGCGTGCTTGGGGTGTTGCTCGTGCCGCTGGCGCTGCTGCTGCTGGCTCCGCTGCTTCCGCTCGTGCTCGTGCTCGCGCTGCCCTCCTGCACGATAAACGCGCTTCGCCCGGTTACCGCACTCCTTCTGTCAGCGCCGGCGACATTTCCGCGCGTCGCACGCCTGGTCGTTGTCGTCGTCGTCGTCGACGTCGTCGTCGTCGACTCTACCGTCGCCGCGAAACCGTCGCCGTATCGCTTGCCCGGCTCTGCGACAGAGTCGCCTGTCGCCCTGCGACGAGTCCATCGCTGCCAGACCAGAACTTCCAGCACGCGATTGAACTGCGTCGCGCCGGCGCTCGCGCCGTGCGAAAACACCCGCGGAGGATTCAGGCAAGCAGGCACAAGCCGCGGGCTTGGCGGGTGAAAACCGGAACGAAAGCGCGAAGAGTCGTCGCGAGTATATTGACTTGCGCCGGGGGAAGAGGTAGGGTCATCGCGAGGGCTGAAACGCGAGGAGGAAATCGGGTACGGGGACCGCCATGGAAAGCATTGCACGACGGCTGTTGGATATTCGTAGTCGCCTGCGTCGGGAATGGTAAGTCTTTCCTGGGCTAAATCGCCGTCCATTGTTCCATAAATATTAGGACGTAATGAAGGTAAGAAAGCTGTGGAGAACTGAGGGTTAAATCGATGGGAGCAAGGGCTTTCAGGAAAGATGAAGAATCACCAGATTTAGCGCCTAATTTCTTGACGTCAGAACCCGTTTCTGTGATGTCGAGGCTATAAGACTTGAAAACTAAGCATAATGACGTGGAAGACACGCAGTGGTAGTATGCAGATGGACAGAACCAGAACAACAAGGCACTGAAAGATGTAGCTAGCAAAAGTCACAACAGCCAAACCCCTCAGGGCGACGTCAGGCCATACATTTCTAATGGGTTAACAGTTCTTGTATCGTGGTTCAAGACGTTCCAGCACGGTGGAAAGCGGTTCTCGGCGTTTACCGCTCTGCATCGTGTTGAAACGAAGTTAACCGCAGTGGGCATACAAAAAGTTGTACAACCTAACGTCACCCTCAGTAGTAAGGGCGCGTGTGATCGGTGAAATTCGTGGAAGTTTACAATTTTAGGGCGAGTTGTGCTAAGTGAACATAAGTCGAACCAAACTCGACTTTCATTGTATCGGGGTTCGCACATCTGGACCACAACACTGCAGAAAAGCACACACACATACAAGGTCGAGTGCGCGTATTCGAACTTGTAAAAACGCACCGAACCGCATTTCTACAAAGTAGGTTACCCGGTTCAGGCGTCTTGACAGTGCGCCATGCGGCAGACTTGCGCCTCGGTTTCGGATAGCCTAGACCTCCAGCTCACCTTCAACGCTGAGGTACAAATATCGGAGGCTGCCCACCTGGGCTCCAAATATGACAAGGGGGTTGGCGGGATTTTTGGGGTGAGCCGTCAAGACGGCTTCAGAGTCGTTGGTGTATGGGTTGAACGTGCCACGATTCGCGCCACGTGGCCTCTTTTGAGTTCACGAAGGCTGTGGTGAGTTCGTTGTGCCACTGTTGCTACTCGTGAGTCGCTCGCACATTTCGCCCGATGTTCGAACGTGCGGGAAATCACACACGTGAATGTGAACATGCCGAAGCACGTTCACATCGAAAACTCGAGTCTTGTTCAAGTTTACAGTTCTCATGTTGCCAAACCCAAAGTTGACGAAGTTTCGCTAACAGCTCTATGCGAAGTTGACGAAACTGGTAACCACAATAAGTTCGCACTTTTTTTTGAATTTCAAATCCGACCTCACGCGCCCTAATCTCTCTTAGACCCGCTGGTGTATCGTCCTCCAGCAAGGATAATCTCCTCTCCATGTCAGCTGATCTCCATATTCACCCAAATGCTGCTCCCAATTTGTCACGAAAGCTCCTTTCCTTTCCCCACTGGTTCCATCCATCTGTGGGGATAAAACCCATGGCGTGCCTAACCACGATGGTAACCATACGCTTCGCCACTCCATTCTCCCGTGGCGATTTTCGCAGAGCCGCACCCACTAAGCACTTTTTGGATCCCTGCATGATTGGTTGGTCCCAGCCGCGCCACGGTCTTCCAATAGTGCACCGCCAATCATCTTTTGGATTCCTCCCTCTCAACGAACCACCGAATACATCTGACAACCGACTCCGACCAGTCCCAAGAAACCTTTCCACATCACCTCGGGGGTACAGTACCCTCCGCTTTTCCCCAGCTGCGTGGAAGTTTGTCTTACAAAACATCGAACACTCGGGCTGGCTGTGTTTCCGCCACGTAGATCCCAGAGAAAGAAAGACCGTCGGCATTGCTGAGTCAACTCGGCGTGAAAAGGGCGTCGTTGGTTGGTTGAATCGAGAACAGCGCTGCTCCATCAAGTTCTGGGGGATTGGCAGCTAACAAATTTTGTCGGTTCAGTTCGGTTGTGCAGGAAAACTTTTGCAGGTTGCTCGAATTGACAAAGCATACAGGTAAGACTACAATGCCGTATGCACACAGCAAATTGTTGCAATGTAAAATACACATATTTACTCTGAAGCGATCATCCTGATATTAGTACGATAGCTTAATAAAAGCAACCAAAGGTTACTTGAGAAACACTTGCAACTTTGACCTGCAAAAGAGACGATAGGTGAAACCTGACACAAGGGAATAGCAACAAGTGCAACACAAGAAAATCCATTCACCATCATGTACACAGGGAAATAAACAAAAAAAGTGGTTCCCACTGAGTAGAACACTTCTTGTTCAAGGGAGGGAAAAACAGCCAGTTGAAATCCACTGTTCCCATTCCAGGCGCCAGGTTGACTTCATGTCAGAGAGTGACTTCATGTATCGTATCGCCACGTTCAAGAGACCATCCAGGTCGTCTACCCACATGTAGACGGTGTATTTACGCGTCTCACTTGTTCCTTTGGAAGTTGTCGAATGGGGCATAGAACGAGACGCAGGCAACGAAGCAAGCATGCAGAGGCACGGGTCTACCGCACCAAACACGCACAAGGAGGGCTTAGCCCTCCCACAGAAAATACTTTCATTGATCTCGGCACCTGCCCCGTAAGCGCACCCATAAGGGCAAGGTGCAAAGACAACAACCACAAGGTCCTAAGCTAAGCACAAGTACAAGATACAGAGAAGATAGACAACTGGATATCTACCATCACAAACCAAACGTCACAGAAGAGGTTGAAAAGTCTTCAGAATTGACGATCCCCATGGATGCTCGTCCCTCGCCCTGCTGCTTGTTGCTCCAAGAAAGCGCCTGCCAACCAACTGACACATCACAGCCCTAACACAGAATCGGTTTTCATGAAGAGAAAAACAACTCACGCTCAGAAACTCATCAAAGCCAACATACAGAAGACGACGAGCGCCACGGCTGTTGGAGCTCTGAGTACTTGTCCCTGAAACCCTAAGATCCTGGCTGCTGGTGGATACAATGACACTGACAGCCTCTTCCCAGAAGTAGTTGTTGCCTGCCGTGCTGGAAACCTCTCTCTCGGACTCATCGAAACGAAACCCTCGAATGTGGTGTGAGCGGACCTCTCTGACCTCGAAAGAACTGTCTGACGAGCCTGGGTTGCTTGGCATGGCGAACGTGCTTGACGAGCCGCTTTCGAGGTTCGGGACTTTCGGTGAGCTGGAGGAAGGTTTGAAGCGAGCCTGGTCCGACATCATTACGTGGGCTGCCCCAAATGTATACAGAGATCTCGCACATGTAATTGTGTGGAAAAAAATGTTGTAATCGTCATATATTGCTGAAGTTGAAAAACCAAAACTCATTTCGCATTTCCAGCATCGCAGGATATACCTTTTTCATGCTGCCCCACCAATTAAGTTTTGCCTTGTTCACCAAGAGACTGGCAAACGTCGAAAACCCCAAACTCATGCAGACCGATCATTTCGTTCCAAACCATCCAGCCATGTCAGGCTGTGTGGCGAGCCGACGTCCAAACCCACGTCAAGGTCAGCTACACCCTCACAAACGTTAAGGGGGAGTTGAGAATAGTTTTCACCCGCCTTTGAATTATCCTGAAGGGGTTTATAAAAATATATGCTAATTGTGCTCAACGCCAGTCTCACCCTATCTTCTCAATCAACACAAGCTGATCGACTACTTATCAATTCATGCTCACATTCCCCCAAGGTTGGCTGGGGCAAGGGTTGCAAGCATGATTTAACAGTACAACTTCACCCACCTTATAAAATGAAAGGACAGCTATCTGAGCTCTTGCCACGGCCAATCTTTCTAGTTCAAACGTGGGCATCCGAGTTTCACTGTACGAACCTCTAAATGTCCACAGCATAATTACTGCCAAATAGACCACACACTTCTTATGACACCGTTAGAAAGCAAATTCCAGATACTCCAATTCCACTACCTATACAATCCTGTCACTGCTGGGATATGGATTACTGCCACTAAGAAAAATTGAAGATTGAGTTATCAGCATGACAATTTCTTACAAATCGAACCAGAAAACCGCTAGCAAATGAGCAGTAATGAGCGGAGTGGCGGAGAAGGAGGGCCAAGGGGCATAAACAGATCACGTGGGTGCAAGGCGAATCACTGACAGACACTACCTACAGTAGACTGATTGCTGCAAGATTCAATTGCATGAACCGACCGGGTGTCATGACTTCAAATCAAACCGTTACAGGTGCAAAGTCATACGTGGAAACAAATCAAAAGAATCAAGCAGTAACTACAGGTGAAACATCAAGCAGTGACTGCTGGAGATGATTGTAAGAATTTCTATGCCCACCTGGACTGCAGATAAAATATTGTAGATCCAGCCAGGATGCCACACAGCCTGCAGAAAAAGAGCCACATCAGGAATTTCAGTACCATTTCCAAAATTGGTAGCTCACGATATCCACAGAAACCATTAGACGTATGGCATGGAGACCGGAAACATGTACCCATGCCCATCCTCTTTTCGCCGATACACTGGCAGCATTAGTACAAGAGAATGTACCCAACATCCGTCCTGCGTCAGGGATTGATAGCTTTATAACGTCTTAAATAGAAACTTCAGCATCTGACAGGAGCGACTTCGACGTCGTCTAGCGCTTCTTCAACCGCTTTCAAGTATTGACGAGATTTGATGGACCTCCTCAGTATGGCTGATGGACCTGCGCTCTTACGCATCGTTGTGCGCTTGATGGACCTCTCAGCAATCATATTGCTCAGAATGGCTGATGGACTTGCGCCCAACGAATTGCTAACGCGCAACACTGCGTGTGACTGGTTCACGATGGCTTGGCGGGTCACACAAAAAGGACAAGGGGGGAAATAACGGGCGGCAGAGGCACGGATCTACCGTACCTAACACGAACAAGGAGGGCTTAGCCCTCCCACAAAAAATATTTCCATTAATCTCGGCACCCGCCCCGTAAGCGCACCCATAAGGGCAAGGTGCAAAGACAACAAGCACAAGATCCTACGAAGAGACACCATATACCATGTACAATAATCCAGGCAGCCACGTAGAAAGAAGATATAATTGACAAACCAATCTTCCAGGACGATAGAAAGACGTCTTCAAAGTGGATGGTCCTCGCCTGATAATTTTTCACCGTCACCGTTGACACGAGCGAGAGAAACCGCCATCTGCTGTAAACAATACACGTTAGGCTTCGTCAAGGAATTGCATAAACAGCTTGTTTACACGGTTAAAGCGTTCTAGGAACTGCTGAATAGATCTACCTTCAGAGAGCCTCCATTGAGCAGGGGGAGAATGCTCCATGGACGCAAACGGAACTGAAGGAACTACTGCTCTACCATAACTAACCAGAGGTGTGCAGCAGGCCAGAAGGTTATGTACTGTACACGAAACCCTAGCGTTTGGTATGACGCCTTTGGTTTTGCCGAGAGCTCTTCACGAACCTACTAGAAGGCTCGGCTTCGGGTGAAGGCTTGGCCCAAACTTGAAACGCGTTACCCAGACGCTTTGGGGTAGCCTTGGCCACACGCAACCCTTGAAACGCGTCACTCTATCGCCAGGAAGTCACCTCGACTTTCTCTTAAAAGGCCCTCTGGAGGGTCAGAATTTTACGAGAACAGCACCAGATACTGCTGCCCTGCTCCCGCCATTCATCCCGTTTCCGGGCGGAAATCCGAGCCAAGGCAGGTGTGGTGGGCCAGATTCTGGTTCGAGCTTCCCACCAGCTCCTCCGTGGCTCGTTGTCAACTGCAGCATTCAGGGCAATTTCGTATCCCGTGTGAGACATCAAGTCATCAGCCCTTAGTCTCCAATTTGTCGCTTCCTAACATTCAATCGCCCCACAAACGAGCCACTTCGGGGTTTCCGAACCTCGACTTCGTGTCTAGCGTTGTGTCTGACACGGAATAAGAATGCGCCCTCAGTGAAGCTGCCTCCCAAACCTCGGGAAAACCCGCGTGGGGCACAGTTTTTGTGGCACGGCAGGCACATCAAAACCGTTTAGCTGGATGCTTACAGTGAAGAAGCCCAGCGCCGTGCTTACACGTCGAATTTACTTTCAGCAATGTTTGTGAAAAATGGGGCAGGTACTTCAGCACGGAACTTCCCTGACGACTCTTCATTGTTTTTTTCGGATATTACAATGTAGCACAATTACGCAAGGAAATTGAGTGGGAACAGGAAGAGAAGAGGAAAGGAGGAATAACGTGAGGAGAAAAAAGGAAAGAAGAAGAAAGAAGGAAGGGAATAGGGAGAAAACGGTAGGAGGAAGAAAAACCGGGAAAAAGGAAGAAAAAACACAAGACGCAACCTCAAGAAAACCCCAATAGCACACACAATTGAAACCCCATCTAACCATCCCTTCAAAACACCCCAACTGCACTCCCATAGAACTTTCCTGACGACGATGGAATGCAGTAAGCTACAGTTTATACGTGTTACAGTATATTTCTGTACTGCAAAAAAATACTTGTTTCTTGTGTCCCTTCCCTTCATTGTCACCAAAAGACCAGAAACATTTAACTTGTTGTAGTTCCCAAGAAACTTGGAGCTTGACGAGCAACGAATGAAACTGGGAGCTTGACGAGCTTGATGCCCCCCATTTCTGCTTTCCCAATTTCTGTTTCAGAGCCTTGCTGCTTTTCTCGAGTCGCTTCGTGAACTTGCTTTAGCAGGGGCCACACAGCATGTGCTTCTAGCTGCTACGTTCGCGGTTTTCCTACTAGGCATGATTTTTTTTTTTCCCCATGTCGTTCGCTCATATTCTTACGGATGGGTTCGGAAATCCCAATCGGTGCTTGGGAAAAGTCGGTTCACCTCAGCCGAGCGACATCACATGTCCGACTGCCTTCGTCGACTTAGTCTTCGGAGCTTTAGGTTCCGCTTTAGAAGCGTACAATGACCGTGAACTGGGACTGCCTTCCGACACAAACTCGTCTCGAGCGACGCGGAAATGTGATCGCATCCTGAGCGTCCTAAACGCGTGCTTGGAAGAACTTGATCACTGGAAAGCTTTGAACACTCCAGGTGTGTCACAAGCTTTATTTCTTTTCCTGGACTACATTTATGTTCCACAGCTAGCTTTTTCTGTTTACTATTTTTCTCGCCGTCCCCGTCTTAACGTCTTAAGTCGCTGCTATGGCATCCTCTCGCCTTTTTCTAAAGAAATAATGTTTCTCTGTTTTTGGATGTGCCATACTATCAGATGGAGCCTTTTCAGAAGGTTCCTGTCCCAAGGCCCACCTGTCGAAACACTTAAGTGCGGACAGCCTTTCAGAGGACCAATTAAATCGTGCGAGCCATAGCCTAGTGGCTCCTATACCGTCGAGCTTCCTCTCCCACAGCATCTCCGTCTCGCCTCCCCCTCAACTCGGTGGTCGCTTCGGCTTCGGCCGAAGGTTCAGTGAAAATAATAAGGCTGAAAATGGGTTTTCTTCGTCAACCATGTCTTTTGTCATGCCGGTGCCGTCCTCCGGGAGTGAGGGTTCTGCGGCTTCTAGCGACTGGGGATTCTCGGGGCCTGTGAAAGGGTTTCCTTCGGCTCAAACAGCACCTCTATCAGCTCTCGACGTTGCAGGTACTTGTTGGAATGGCTCGTTCTTTGATATTAGGAGAAAAAAAAAAAAAAAAAAAAAAAAAAAAAAAAAAAAAAAAAACGCTTATCGTCGCGGCGCTCGTGTTCACCACTCCCGAAACCTCCTTGCCACCACTTAATTGTATCCACTCCCTTGTTCAACCTCGCTCTGTCTCTCCCTTCTCTTTCCCTGTTGCCTTTCCCCTGCTCTCCCCATCCTTCTCCCTGTCCCCCGTTTCCTCAGCACCAGCGGAACAGAGTCCCGTCCAGGGGGAGAAATGGGAAGCGTTGTACGCGTCAGTGCAGGACGCGGTTCTCATGTATAACGCGCAGTTCGTCTCCGCGCTGGCGGATGGTTTCCCGCCCGCTGCTGACGTCATGACGTCGCTGGACGAAACCCTGCAGGACCTGGCGAAAGACGTCTACGTGGCATTGGATAAGATGGACGAGGTGAGCTAGGCAGTCTACGTGGCATCGGATAAGATTGAAGAGGAGGCAGTATACGGGGAAGTAGGGGTGGGTGGTGGGGGAAGGGGGGCAAGGGGAATAAACCCGCGCATCATACATTCCACGCATCATTCACCCACCCGTTACATGACCCTATCACCTCACCTATTTCCTCATCGTGCTCCTCATTTCTCCCACTCGTACAATCTCTCTTATCTCGAAGCAGGGAGTGAGCCAACGAGTGTCGCTGTTTCCTATCCGCGTCTTTGCAATGTGTGCCTCTCTGGAAGTCTCTCGCTGCCGAAGGCTGTTCCGCAAGCAGCAGGAGGAGGAGGAGGAGGAGGAGGAGCAGCAGCAGCAGCAGCAGCAGCAGAAAAGAGACCTCTGTGTGGCAGGGGATGTGTCAGGTGAAAGGGTTTTAAAGGATTCTCCATGTGTTTCAGCAGAAGCTTCAGGTGAACTTCCAGGTTGGTCTTTCCTTGCCGCTGCTGGCAATCTCAGGGACCAGCCAGCAAAAGAATCCGCAGCGCTTCTGCCCTTGGATGAGGACGATCTGACGGTTCTGGAGCAGCTGCTGGAGGAGGCGGGGGACGAGATTCAGGGCGTGTTCCTAAACTGCAAGGGGTCACTGTACGGTCTTGGTGTCACCCATGCTCGTTCCCTCGCCCGCTTCTCTATCCTGGGGAAGGCGCTTAAAGCAGCAATAGAGGGAGCAACGGAAGCGAGTTTCACTGTGGTAAGGGATGGACGGGAGCTGAGGTATTTGGAGAGGAAAGAAGAGGTTGGAGAGGGGAAAGTGGAGGGAGAAGGAAGGGGAGTGGGAGCGAGGGGGAGGGGAGCTGGATTTGCGTTTGAAACAGCTACTGTGCTAACCGGTTGCAATCAAATGGGTGATTCTTCCAGCAAAACCGAAGGTGGTGCCGAGGGGAAAGAGGAGGAGGAGAGGGGGAGAGAGGAGGGCGAGAAAGAGGAGGTAGATGAGAAGGAAGAGGAAGAGGAGGAGGACGACGAGGATGATGACGACGACTCTGACACTTACGATAGTGACAATATTGAGGATGACTGTATCATATGGGATGACGGGCTTCAGGATATCAGAGCACTGTTCGCCGCTAAGCAGTCCTTTACAACACCCTGTGGAAAATCGCCCTCTGCTTCTTCTGCCTCCTCCATCGCCTCAGGAGCAGCGCGTACTCCTCAAAGGAGATTTGAAGCCACAAGCCTGATCTTCTCTGACCAGAACCAGCAGAAGCAGCACCTGCGAACGCAGTCAGAGGTGATTCATGATTCGACTCAAAAATCTCCTGGAGCCGCTGACCATCCGCAGCAGCAGCACCAGCGAGCTTTCTCAGTCGCTGTAACGCCTAACTTATCCTCTGACTCAAGTAGCTTGACAGCTGACAGCAAGGCAGGGACACCAACAGCAGCAGCAGCAGCAGCAGCAGAAGCAGCAGCAGAAACACCCAAGGGGCCGCGTTTGGGAGCAAGGATTCTATTGGAGCGAATCCGGGACTATCAATGGCTGGCGGAATGGCTAGGGATCGACCCCGACGAGCTACTAATCCACAAGGTTCTCTCTGTTGTACCCGTTGGCATGCTCCTTACTGACCTGGGCGTGCCACGCTCGTTAGAATCCAGTTTGTTAGAGTCACAGCGACCGCTGCTGCTGCGCGTGGTGCTGCCTGGGTTCCGGGAGGAGGTGAAGAGGCGGCTGGTGGGTGCTGGGCTGGCGTGGACCGAAGGGATGTTGATCAAGACTGTGGTGTTTGAACCTAAGAGGAATGTTGCTGTGTTTACCACAGGAGGTGGCAGTGCTGCTACAGGCGGTGATGCTGCTGGTGCTGGTGCTGGTGGCAGTGGGACAGACGGGGGTGCGGCTGGTACTGCTGCGGCTGCTGCAGCAGCAGCAGGGAGAGCGTTGGCCAAGAAACCCAGCCACAACCGAACCAAAAGCGCAGAAGACATGGAGGAACTATCCCCGTTTGTGTCTCATGCGGTACAAGAATCGCTCACAGCAGGCGGCGGGCTTGCGAAGCAGATTCCCCTAGAGGACATTCTGGCAGCGACTGACTCGTGGAGCCCTGAGAGGAAGCTAGGGGAGGGCGCGTACGGCACGGTGTTCAAGGGGGTTGTTGGGCGCGGTGGGGAGGGTGGCGATGGAGAGATGTGGGCTGTGAAGCGGGCAGGCAATGTGTCGGGGTCTCATCTGGAGGAGTTTGAGAAGGAGGTGAGCTGGGTTGGGCTGGGTTGGGTTTGGTTCGGTTGGGTTGGGTTGAGCAGATTCCCCTACAGGACATCCCAGCAGCAGCAACAGACTCGTGGAGCCCTGAGAGGAAGCTAGGGGAGGGCGCGTACGGCACGGTGTTCAAGGGGGTTGTGGGGCGCGCTGGGGAGGGTGGCGATGGAGAGATGTGGGCTGTGAAGCGCGCGGGCAATGTGTCGGGGTCCCATCTGGAGGAGTTTTAGAAGGAGGTGAGCTGGGATGGGCTGGGCTGGGTTGGTTGGGTGGGGCTGGCTTGGTGGGTTGGGTTGGGATGGGTTGGGTTGGGTTGAGCTTCACATGGCTCGCAAGGCAAATTCTCTTAGAGGGCAGAAGGTGGAGAGCTGTGGGCGGTGAAGCAGGCGGGCAATGTGTCAGGGTCTCAACTGGAGGAGTTTGAGAAGGAGGTGAGCTGGGTTGGGCTGGGTTTGGTTGGGTTGGGTTGGGATGGTTGGGTTGGGTTGGGTTGAGCTTCATATGGCTCCCGAGGCAAATTCCCTCAGAGGGCAGAAGGTGGAGAGCGGTGGGCTGTGAAGCAGACGAGCAATGTGTGAGGGTCTCACCTTGAGGACTTTGAGAAGGAGGTAGGGCTGGGTTGGGTCGGGTTGGATTGGGTTGGGCTGTGTTTGGTTCATGATCTGCAGCCTGCATGGCCCACCAGCACCTCGTGTGCCTCATAGCCTTCTGTGCCTATGCTGTCACTCATTACCACTCCTTGTCACCCCTTGCCACTCCTTGCCACTCCTTGCCACCGTTCCCCTTTCAAGGTGTCCTTCATGAGTTGCATGACCCACCAGCATCTCGTGCGACTCATAGACTTCTGTGCCATTGTCACTCCTTGTCAATCCTTGTCACTCCTTCTCACTCCTGTGTCTCTTCCACCCAGGTGTCATTCATGAGTCGCATGGCCCACCAGCATCTCGTGCGACTCATAGGCTTCTGGGCGGACTGCGACGAGCGGATCCTTATTTATGAGTTCATGCACAACGGCACCCTCGCATCGCGCATCCACCGTTCTATGGTGCCAGCATCCCCTACTGGAGGTGAGTATCACGGGCTGGGCTGGGCTTCTGGGCGGACTGTGACGAGCGGATCCTTATTCATGAGTTCATGCACAACGGCACCCTCGCATCGCGCATCCACCGACCAGTGCCGTCATCCCCTACTGGAGGTGAGTGTTGCGCTGCTTGCAATGGGTGATGACTGTTAAGAGTCCTTATTTATGAGGTCATGCACAACAGCACACTCGCCCTTGCGCATGTTGTGCACCAGTGCCGTCACTCCCCTCTGAGGATGAGCGTAGTGGGCTGGGCTGTGGATGCGTTGTGTGACGAGCGCTGGATCGTCTACGACTCCATGCACAACGGCACTCCATGCACAACGGCACTCCATGCACAACGGCACTCCATGCACAACGGCACACTCCCATCCACTGTGCCTCCCCCTTCCACTGTGCGGAAGTGCAATCCCTTCCTTGGAGGTGAGTAGGTTATGACCCGAACAATGTGTGATGCAGCACTATGTCTTGAATTTCCCTCCCTTATTCATGCTTCCCCTCTCTTCCTCCCTCTCCCAACCCCGATTTTCCCGCAAACCAGAAGCACCCAAGAAAGCCCCCCCTCCACCTCTGTCATTTGACGAGCGGGTGATCATCGCTGTGGGAGCAGCCGAGGGCCTGCGCTACCTGCACGACTTTGCGCGGCCGCCCGTGATCCACCGCGACATCAAATCGGAGAATATCCTGCTCACAGCGGATCTGCAGGCCAAGGTGGCGGATTTTGGGCTGCTGAAAACGAGCGACCAAGGAGGCCCTGGGCAGCATGTGGCGAGAACGAGGCTGATGGGCACCCCTGGGTATTGCGACCCGGAATATTCGCGGACTTACATTGCCACGCCCAAGAGTGACGTGTACAGGTGAGCATGGGGCACCGGAATCCCTTGCATGATTTTCTCCTAAGAGTGTGTGTTTGTGCGCATATGTGTCTGTGTGTTTGCCCGCCTTTCGCTTGGCAGCTTTGGAGTGGTTCTTCTGGAGCTGGTGAACGGGGCGCAGAGCCATCCTGGCAGAGCCGAGTCAGAAGACGGGGATGAACCTGGGCACTGAGCACTTAGACACCCAAACTCTCTAATGTTTGCCCACCCTATCGCTGCAGCTTTGGAGTTGTCTTGCTGGAGCTGGTGACCGGCCGCAGAGCCATCCTGGCAGAGCCAACTCAGAAGAAGTGGCGTCGTGATTCGGCACGTGGCGTCGGGATGAACCTGGGCAATGTGGCGTTGTGACTTAGCACTGAGAATTGAGGCACGAGGCACCCAAACGCTTCTTGAACGATCTCCTTCTGTCTGTGTGTCTCTGTGTTTTCCCCTTTGTTTCTGCAGCTTCGGAGTGGTTCTTCTGGAGCTGGTGACGGGGCGGCGGGCCATCCTGGCAGAGCCGAGTCAGAAGACGGGGATGAACCTGGGCAACGTGGCGTCGCTGCTGCAGCGCTCCAAGCGCAACGCCAAAGCGAGTGTCATGGAGCCGGGGGCCACCACCACGCTTGTGCAATGGGTGAGTGTGCCTGCTAGGGCTGTGTGTGTTTTTGTTCATGGGTTGTCCCTTGTAGTTGCTTGTGTTGACCTGCACTCACCTACTACTGTCTCCCTACCTCTTCTCCACTTCCCCCTCCCTCGGCTCCACTCCCCCCTCCCTCGGCTCCACTCCCCCCGACCTCCTCTCCACTCCCCTCCATCTTCCCCACCCCCATCCATCCAGGCCATTCCTCTGATCACAGCAGGCAAGCTCAAATCCGTAGTCGACCCGGCCCTGGAAAACAATTACCCACCAGGAGGGATGAAAGCGTTCGCCAATGTGGCGGTCATGTGCGTCCAAAAGAGTGCCGCCCAGCGGCCGACCATGGCTGAGGTGGCGACACGCCTGTCTGCCATCCGGCACAAGGTGCAAGACTTGCATATCCAAGGGGAAGAGCCCAAGTATAACTTCCACCCCACCATCGGACCTAGTGCCTCGGCTGGTGCTCCTGTTGCTGCTGCTGCGACGCCAATTCCCAGAGCACAAACCGCCCCTCGGCCCAAGTCTCCAGCTCCGAAAGTGCCGCAGAAGAAGGCCGGGGAGAAGAGCGGGAGTGGGGCGGGAGCAAAGGCTAAGACAAAGGATGCAGGCGCTGGGGAGGGGAAAGAGGCGAAGGGGAAGAAGGCGGGAGGGAAGGGGGTTACAAGGGCCAAGAGCGCGGCGCAGCCGTATTTGGGTGCAAAGGATGCAGTGGAGTTCAGCTCGCAACATGTGACAAGTAAATATATGGCAATGATGTGACCCTCCAATGGCGCTGCATGTTGGTTGTACACTACGGCTAGATGTTCACTTACATGCTAGATATTCCAAATCCTAGAGCCAGTATGTGGTATAACTTAATACTCTCCAGTTATAGAGTAGTGAGAATCAGGGCATATGGAACTGTTTCTTGCTGTTTGTGCCCTGGATATTAGAAATCGTAGACAGGGCATCCACCCATGCTTTGTCACTAAGCTAAACTATACATTCCGTGATCCTTGTGTTAGGGCGTTTTCGCTCATCTTGTTCAGTAATAGCAAGTGTATATTTAATTTTATTATATTGCCTGACTGCACACTCCTGGTTCGAAGTTTTGGGGTCAAAATGTGGCGTCGATGTGTGCTCCAGGCTATCCGTACCAGACCACGAACCTGATTAGTTCAGGCTCGTCACCAGCAAGATCTGTTGTGTGGTTGGCCAGATTTGCTTGCTTAGACCCCCCTGTCAGACGCTTCGGCCCAGACCAGGATATCGTAGATAGTGCTTCCCAAGCAAAGTTGGTCTAGATCACCTTCTCGAAGGTGCCACGTCAACGGAACCCGCACGTTCGCCTCAAACACCACAGCTGTTGTGTCCCTGCGGTCCCCACACACTCCACACGGAAAGCCCTAATTCGCTGCGACTTCATGCCAAGCCTGTGAGTCAGACTGGGAATCTTAGTCTTACCACCAGCGAATCCAGCGGCGTAGTGCTCTTCAGCTCGGTAACCGGGGCAGACAGATGTCAGCGACTGAAAGGTTCCCGCGATCAGAGCTCTGGTTTGTGGTTATGACATGCTCCCGCGTAGATCACCACGCGACAGCCAATCTCGACCGTCTGAATGCCGGTAAATTCAAGGACCCTTCCATCCGAGACGAGGGTGGCAGCTGTGCCTTTCTCCTCTCCCAACCCAGACTACACCTCTCACCCTCCCTGCTAACAGCCATCAGAATCTGAACTTTTCCACAGTAGTGGCAGAAACCTGCGGTTAGTTTCAGTAATTGCTTGCTTCGCACTTTCCAGCTGAAGGGGCCTGATCACCATGACTGTGGAGACTGAAGTCATCTCTCAAGCAGCGTCCCCTTCCTCAAATTTCACAGCCGCCATGACCAGGGATACGCCATTTTATTATGTCTGGCCCGCGACGGAGCCTCTCGTGCAGAATTTCGAGTGGAAGGTCGATGAGACGCCGGTGTCGAACCTTGCGTTGATGCTCTGCACATGTATAGGCTACGTCACGTTCATTCTAGGTCTGAAATGGTTCCGGACAAAGAACAAGATGGCACCAGTGAATCTGGGGTACCTCCCTGCCATTCACAACCTGATCCTGTGCCTCTGGTCCCTGGCGATGTTCCTGGGAACGATCCACGCAATGCTTCTGGATTCCGAGATCAACAAATATGACACCGGCATGGTACGGCCTCATGGCACATTGCTGACCATCCTTCAGCAGATCAGGACAGATTTGGTAACTGACGGTGCATTTCGTTTCTTTGTTTGCAGGGCAAGTATACGTGGCTTCTTTGCTTCCCCTCCACCGTCAAGCCCGTTGGTTATCTTTGGTTCTGGAGTTACGTTTACTACCTCAGCAAGTATTACGAGCTTCTGGATACCGTTATCCTGGTGCTGAAGAACAAGCCGCTGTCGTTCCTCCACGTGTACCACCATGCAACCATCGTCTTCCTCTGCTGGCTGTGGCTAACTGTAAGTCTTTATTCTTACGTTTTACACGGTCGTGTCGTAGGCCGTTTCCTGCGTTTCTGAATTCTCTTCCGTCATGTTGCGATCCACAACGGAAGAAAGAAAGCACTGATCTACAACGTGGGTAGCAATAACCAAACTAGTCAAACCGTAGGCGAACGGGAGGGATACATTTTAGCTGACAATGACGAGCAACGAATGTTGCCTGGAACAGTCACCTTTAGCTCAATCATGAACATCAATGCACAACACAATACATGTCCAGGCACGAATAGATTGCTCATTTTTTATTACCCCCATCTTCTGCGAGCAGAACACGCAGTCGCTCCAGATCATTGCGATCACGATCAACACGGGGATCCACGTCATGATGTACTTCTACTACTTCATGCACAGGTATGAAATCGCGTCGTTCGCCAGTCAAGTGAATCGAAAGTATAAGGAAAACATAATTTTATGTGCATTGCTCTCGCAAAATCTTGGCAACTGACGTCGCCTGTTTTCGGCAATTTGTGTCAACAGCATCGGCATGCCTCCTCCTTGGAAGATGTTCGTCACCAACAGCCAGATCATTCAGGTACGATTTCATCTGTTTTTCATGCCCCAAGTAAAGAATCACAAACCTTGCTGTCCTGGTTTCGTGAACCAAACTCTCTTGATATGTGCTTAAACTAATTCTTCGGTATTGATGTTATGCAGTTCATGATCGGCACTTTCGTCTCCTTCCCGCTCATCTACTTCCACTTCACCCGGCCAACTGGCTGCGCTGGATTTGAGTCTTTCTGCTTCAACCTCTTCTTCAACTCCTCGCTCCTCTACCTCTTCGTTGACTTCCACATTCGCAACTACGGAAAGGCCGCAAAGGCAGCCAAGGGTGGCAAGCGGGCCAAGAGGGATTAAGTTAATGCAGGACTTCGTCCCTAGATCTGGTGTTTGATGCAGCTGAACGAGGTGGGAGATACAGTCTGTGGTACTCAAAGGGATGGAGCTGCAATCTTTCTCCTCACGCTAGGGTTGAGCTAGACTGGTTAGCATTTTGGTGACTTATTAGATTTCCGCCCACGTGTCAACGGCGTTTTCGGTTTTGTCAGCTTTTTTCTGACGATATTATCCCCCTTCACGCTTCGTTACAGCCAGTCGTAGCTGGGGTTCCTAACAGTTACCGCTGCTGCTGGCTTCGAACCTCCAAATGATAGTTTACGTTTATCGGCAGTCTCAGCTCTTTCCTTTCCCTTCTCCTTATCTTCCCCTATCTCACTTCCTCCGTCTTTCTCTTCCCCCCTCGTTCTCTTCCCCTCACGTCCTCTTCCCCCACGTCCTCTTCCCCCCACGTACTCGTCTCCCCTCGTTCTCATCTCCCCTCGTTCTCATCTCCCCTCGTTCGCTTCTCCCCTCGTTCTCTTGTCCCCTCGTTATCTTCTCCCCTCGTTCTCTTCTCCCCTCGTTTTATCTTTCCCCCTCGTTCTCTTACCCATCGTTCTCTTAATCTGTTCTCTTTCCCGCTCTTCTCTTCCCCCCTCTTCTCTTCCTCCCTCTTCTATTCCTCCCTCTTTCCCTTCCGTCTTCTCTTCCCCCTCTCCTCTTCCCCCCTCTTCTCGTCCCCCTTCTTCTCGTCCCCCTTCTCTTCCCCCTCTCCTCTTCCCCCCTCTTCTCTTCCGCCCCCTTCTCTTCCGCCCTCTTCTCTTCCCCCTTCTCTTACCCTTTATTCTCTTCCCCCCCCCTTCTCTTTCCTCCTCTTCTTTCCCCCCTCTTCTCTTCCCCCTCTTCTCTTTCCCCCCTTCTCCATCCCCCATCTTCTCCTTTCTTTTGTATCCCCCAAACCCTTCCCATCCTGCTCTCATCTCTCTCTATCGCTTTCTCACTTTACCTATCTCGTTCTTCTCTCGAACCTCTTCCCGCTTCCCTATTTCTCACCATTCCCCACCCTCGCTCTCCACCTCTTGTACCCCTGCCTGACTCCCTCATTTCTCCAACTACAGTATTAGCCTGCCTGCTTCTCCCTCACCCCACTGCCTCTTTCACTGCTCAGAAATCCAGTGTGCCTTTAAACTGCACAATCCCTCCAAAACCATTGGACAAGTCTAGAGCACATGCAAAGAAAGAGTCAGAAGCAAACAATCGGAGAAACGAATTGATACTCTTTTCAAGTTTTGGCGCCCCACTCATTAACCGTCGACCTGAATTGATTACTCGCTCGTTTCTCAATATCAACCTCCATACCCTACCACTAAGTTCGCCACTCCCAACATTCCAGTGGCAATCTTGCCTAGATCTGAATCTGAAAATAGAACCTCACGTAATCGAATCTTGACTTTCCAGTGCACAGTCTCAATGGCTTGCAAAGGAGCATCGTCTAGCGCGGATGGTGACTGGTCATATTGCTTTGATCAATAGCTTTGTTCCCAGATTGACCACGACACGCAAGAGACATTTGTGTTGCGCCCAGCGTAATCCATGGCCCAAGCTTAGCGATTCGCAACGTCTTTCACCGTAGTGGCCCTCTTACAGCACAAACCTCATTCTGCGTTGCTGCCTTGAACATGGCTCTTTCTCGTTCCCAGATCCCGTTCAGTTCAGTAGGACCGGACCCAGTCCTTAGCAGAGGTCCCGCCGCCTGTCAACTCGATACAAGGTCCGCATTTATCGTGAAGAAGAACTTCATAACGGACCGCATGGGGAGACCCGTAGGAAGGCTTTCCGCAAGGTCTGGCGGCTTTCGGAGTCCTCCGGACAACAAGCTATGCCTCGCTGATTCATTATTTCGTCACGAGCAGCAGTCAATTAGTGCGACATTTCAGGCGCCTCAAAGCCGCGCTCGTGCGCCGTTAGGTGTTAGACGGACTGCCACGTCACCGTGTCGTGTCACTGTTACTCGAGCTACGTCGGGAGGAAACGACGGGGAAGGGCGGGATGAATCTGCTCGCGCAGGAGCGGAGCAGCTGACGTCACTGCAGAGATCGCTGACGCAGCTTCTGTGCGTGATGGGGAATCTGGCGAGCGCGGTGGGGGAGGTTGCGCGGGTAGCGGGGGAGGTGGCGGAAGCAGCAGCGGCGGAACGGGGAAGCGGAAGGACTGGCTCAGATTCAAGAAGAGCAGCTGCAGCAGCCGCTAATGCTGCTACATCTGCCGCCGCTGCAGCAGCAGAGGCAGGCGGAGCAGTGGCTAAAGCTGCTGCTGCAGCGGCTGCTGCTGCTGCTGCCGCAAATGCTGCCGCTGCCACTTCTGCCAATGCACCTTCTGTAGAGGCTCCAACAGCAGCAGAAGCACCAGGAGCAGAAGGCCCAGCACCAACTAGAAGTGAAAGGGGAGGGGAAGGGGGAGGGGGAGGGGGAGAGGGGGTGGGGAGAGGGTTGGAAGGGCATGAGCTGGCGCTGGCGCTGCAGCGCGCATTTGTGCAGGCCAGGATTGAAGGGCTGGGGAAGCCAAGAGAGGTGAGTGTGTGTGTGTGAGAGAGAGAGAGAAAGGGAGTGAGCGCGTGTGAAAGGGAGCGAAAGAGAGTGTTTTTTTGTTGATTCTTGACATTTGTGCAGGCCGGGATCGAAGGGCTGGGAAGCCACGAGAGATGGGTGTGTGTGTATGAATGTGTTGTGTATGTCTCTGTCTGCTTGTGTGTGCATGTGGGTGTATGTGTGCATGTGGGTGTATGTGTGCATGTGTCTTGGCGTTTGTGCAGGCCCGGATTGAAGGCCTGGGAAGCTTAGAGAGGTGGGTGCGTGTGTCGGGGTGAGGGGGGGGAGAGGGAAGGGGAGGGGGAGAGCAGGGGAGCTGAGGTGGGTGTGTGTGTCGGGGTGGGAAGGGGGGGAGCAGGGGTTAGAGCAGGGGAGCTGGGGTTTCTTCATTGTTTTTTCTCCTCCTCCCTCCCCACTCCCCCCTTCCCCCGTCCCCCGTCCCCCGTCCCCCGTCCCCCGTCCCCCACCCACGCACCACATCAGGAGGCGTTAGGAGACTTTGAGTCGACTCAAAAGTCGACTTATCACACCCCGTCCCCCCGTCCCCCGTCCCCCCGCCCCCCCGTCCCCCGTCCCCCGTCCCCCCTCCCCCACCCACGCACCACATCAGGAGGCGCTGGGAGACTTTGTCGACGCATGCATGGCAGCACGGGCGCAGTCCCTGGGCTTTAAGGACCTCCAGCTGAAGCTGCTACTGGCGGAGGCTGCTCTGCCCACCCCCTTCTCCATGATGGGCGCTGCTGGCGCTGGGGAGGAGGGGGAGGGGGGTGGGGCCGGGGGGGAGTTAGGGGGGATAGCGGGGGAGAGATTGGGGGAGAGAGAACGAGAAGGAAAGGAGGAGGAAGGTGAGCAGGGTGCGGAAAGTGGGAAGGCAGGGGCAGGGGGCGCGGAGGAGGGAGGAAAGGGAGGGGAGGGAGAGGAGGAGAGGGTGGAGGGGGATTTGGATAGTGATGACGAGAGAAAGAGCAACGCACTTAAAGCCCTCCGAGGACCCTTTCTGGCTGAGGTTGGTGGGGTTACCACGAAGGGTATAGGGCCCTGGGGTATGGAGGCATGGAGGCATGGGATATGGAGGCATGGGGATGTAAGGATGGGCATGAGGCATGTGTGTGCTGGCATGGCACCGCTTCTGTGTTCTCCTGATCATGTGAAGTCTTATGCTTTCTTCCCTATCCCTCCTCCTTCAGCGTCCTTCCCCTCCAATTGCACCCAATTTATTGTGGGCTCTCTCATTCTCTCACACTCGCTCACTCCAGTTTGCAACCCCTTTCACCCCCATGGTCCACAGGAGGTGCGAGTTCGCATTGAGGTCGTTTTTGAGGCGCCTCAAAAACGACCTCAATTCTGAGGCGCCTCAAAAACGACCTCTTTCATCTCCCTTTCTTAAACCTGCTCACTTCCCCTCCAGTTGGCAACCCCTTGCACCCCCGTTGCTCACCTCACCTCCAGTTTGCAACCCCTTGCACCCCCGTGGTCCACAGGAGGTGCGAGTTCGCACGCTATGGGTTCGGCTAGTCTACACCACTCTCAACATGGTAGGCCCCATGCGGTTGCTTTGTCAACATATTGATTATTCGTATTATTATTGTTGTTGCTGTCGATACAATTATGCAGCAAAAAATAGTAATAGTAACAATATATACTATTCTGAATAAATTAAAATAGATATATTTGATATGTTTCAACAAATTTTTTTATGAAAACCCCCATCTCCCCTCCCCATGCCTACCAGGTGGACAACATAAGGAGTGGAGAGGGGTACGAGGGAGTCGTATCAGCAGACGGTTCTCAGCCTCCTGACCCTACCGATGGGTTTGTGCAGCAGGTGGGTGTGGTGCGAGGGGTGTGATTGAGACGCCTCAAAAGCAATGTGCAGTGAAAGATGTGCCTCGTCCCACCGATGGGTTTGTGCAGCAGGTGGTTGTGGTGCAAGGGTATCAATGGGTTCCTTGTGCCTTTGCAGTGGTTGACAGCGGCATTTCACAAGTCTGTGAAGTAAGTGGGTTCAGTCCGTTTCTTCTGGTGTGGCTTCAATATGAGATGCACTACAAATGTGGGCTTAAAACTTTCGTGAGGGCACCTGATCCTTTTATCCCTCTCTGACCTCCTGTCTCACTTCTTAATCTCACCTCCCATCACCCTGCCTCACCCCTCTTCACCTTTCTTTTCCACTCTTCACCCCCCTTCACCCCTCTTTGCCCCTGTCAGATGGTCAAGGCGGCATTCGACCAAGGCAGGGACTACAACTTCGTGCTGAGAGAGCAGGAGAGCCAGGCAACGCCAGTGCCGCCCTCTGTTGCCACCTTGCAGCAGATCCAGCTGCTTATTCTCTTAGCTCTCTCCAAAGGCATGGCTGCTACCTCATAGTGACACCTCTAGTGCTAGCTTTCAGCAAACCCTCATAATTGGTGTGTGATAGTGCTTCATTGCATGCCATCCCTGAGCTAGGCAACGCCAGTGCCCCCCTCCATTGCCACGCTGCAGCGGATGCAGCTGCTCGTTCTCCTCGCACTCTCCAAATGCATGGCTGCTACCTCATAGTGCTACTTGTTAATGCCACCTTTCGTAGTGCATGCTGCTATTGTTAAAAATTGAACAATGTTGTTTCATCATGTTTAGCTCGTAGTGTTACAGCGCCTCATGGTACACTGAGCAGGGCGTAGCCAACCAGTGCCCCACTCCGTAGCAGTCCTTAAGCATATCCAGCTTCTCAATCTGTCAACACTTTCTACTCCTGCATTGATATCTCTTCATTATCACTTATTATGCGCAAAAATTGGCTACAGTTTTTCCAGAAATATCAAGAAGGGATTAGTCGTTGAGAAGTACTGAACAGAGACGTCGGCTCTTGAGCTTCTATGCACCCACGGATGCCATTAGGAGGTTACTTTCGAGATACCGCCAACATTGGATCTACTGGTAGGTATGCTACAACATGATAAGCCTAGGTAGATGGAGGCAAAATCCGGGCAGCAGTCGCATGGCATCGGAGGGTGGAGGGTGGAGTGGAGGGCGGCAATGTGTGTTTTTTCACTTGCCGTGCACAAGTAGAATCCTCAAAAAACACACTGGAGGGTGGAGGATGGAGTGGAGGGTGGCAATGGTGATGGTGATGGTGGCAGCGGTGGTGACAGTGGTGATGGTGTGCTAAAACAACAAGGCTACTGTTTGTCCGAGACGATACAAGAGGGTCCAGAGGACCAGCTACGGTTGACATTGAGTAACAGGCTCGGTTAGCAAGTTGCCAACCAGATGAATGTGCAGTGGCAGTGGCAGTGGCAGTGGCAGGGGCAGGGGTTGAGGAAAGAGGCAGGGGCGGGTGCAGGGTGAGAAGGACGAGGGGGAGAGAGCGAGGCTACAGTTGAGTGGCCTGCTGCTCTTCTTTCAGCTCTTCTTTCAGTGGCTTGAGTCAGGGGGGCTTGCTGCTTCAATAAATTCGCAGAAGTCTGTCAGTTGCACAAATCAAGGTGTGGCTTGGCAGCAGACAAGGTTTGATGCGAGGAGGGGTGGGGGAGGACCGAGATGGGTGAGCAGCGGAGAGAGGGATGGTGAGAGAGAGTTGGTCGAGCTGCTGTTCTTTCACTGGGTGAGGTCAAGGGGCTGCTTACTATAAGACCGGGTTTGGTGTGAGGAGGAGTGGGGGGGGAGGACGGAGATGGGTGAGCAGCGAGGAGAGAGGGCTGGTGAGAGGACTGGTGGGCTTTGCTGCTGTCTCAGTTGCACAAATCAAGGGGAAGCTTGGAAGCAGACAAGGTTTGGTGGGAGGAGGGGTGGGAAAGGACCGAGATGGGTGAACGGCGGGGAGAGAGGGCTGGTGAGAGGGACGAGGGGGAGAGAGATGGAGAGGAGAGGGAGGAGAGAGGGGAGAAGGAGCGAGGTGGGGAGGAGTCTGGGGAGGAGCGAGGGGAGGAGGTGGCAGATCTCTGGACTAATAGGTCCGCGGGTGCGTGAGTGGGTGAATGCGTAGATGTGCGCGTGAGAGATGAGAAGGAGAGGGACTTGAGGTCGTTTTTGAGGCGCCTAAAAAACGATCTCTGGACTAATAGGTGCGAGGGTGCGGGAGCGGGTGCATGCGTCGATGTGCGAGTGAGAGACGAGGAGGAGAGGGACTTGAGTGGCTGAGAGAGTGTGCGGGGTACGTGTGTGGGAGAGGGCGAGCGGCTGGAGAAAGAGGAAGAGGAGGAGGCGGAGAGTGGGGAGGAGGAAGAGGAAAGAGAGGAGGAGGAAGGGGAGGATGTGCGGGTGAATAGGAGGCTTGCAGAATACATGTTGTTGCTGCCTGCCTTGAGTGCTTGAACTCGCTTGGGGCCGATCTGATTGGTGGAGGGTGAGGAAACAAGGGGAGAAGGAAGAGTAGGAGTAAGAGTGAGAGCACAAGAGCAGAAGAATACATGTTGCCTCTGCCGGTCTTAAAGTGACGATGCACATTTGCCACCCGAAACCCTAAACCCTGGCGAGCTGTTACTGCGGAAGAAAAGTGTCCGCACGAAATCCAGGTTTTCGCCTGCCAACACTTTCGCGGTGGCAAGCCTGGTTCAGAAAAAAAAACTTCTGAACCTCCCGCTGGCAAATCTAGACCCTCGTTTTAAGTGCTTGCATTTGCGAGAGGCCGATGTGATGAGTGAAAGAGGGCAAGTGAAGGTAAGATTGAAACGGTTAGGAGCTGGATTTACAAAGTGAAGGGGGAAAGACAGACAGGTCCAAAGCATGAGGAGACTTTTAAAACAGCTAATCAGTCAATCAGTCACCCTGTTTTGAGACGTCTCAAAACAGCTAATCAGTCAGTCGCCCTGTCACTTGGCTACTGGCTATGTGCTCACCCGTCTGAACAGCATGCTGCAGGTGGCAGGGAAATACTGTGCGAGGTACATGAGTAGCAGCACAGGCTGGGGGGTGCAAATGGGTGTGGAGGGCAGGGAAAGGGGTTGAGAGCGGTATGAGCCAGTAGGAGGGAAGTACTGTGCGAGGTACATGAGTAGCAGCACAGGCTGGGGGAGACAGGGGCGGATGGGGGAAAGGCAGAGTGGGGGCGGGAGAAGAGGTTGAGAGCGGTATGAGCAGGTGGCAGGGAGTTACATGAGTAGCAGCACAGGCTGGGAGAGACAGGAGCAGTGGAAGAATGTGCGAGTGAGACGTCAATACTGGGGTGTACACATACAGGTGTTGTGAACATAATTACATGTGCAGATGAATGCGTGTATATACATGTACATATAACTATGTTGAGAACTTTAACTATATGTATACATAGATATACACTCAACTATATGTTTACACTCAAACATATGTCTGGATTTCCAGATATTCAACAGCTGCACTCACACATCTGGAAATCCATGCTGCTTCTAGCCATCAAGCAGCAGCGCTCACAATGAGCTCAGCACGTCGCAATGTCTTCTGAATCGACTTAACATCACACACACATACATACACACATACATACACATATACATACACACATACATACACATATACATACACATGTACATACACACATACATACACATGTACATACACATATACATACACATATACATACACATGTACATACACATATACATACACATATACATACACATGTACATACACATATACATACACATGTACATACACATATACATACACATATACATACACATGTACGAAATGGCTGCACTCACATGTTTGGAGATCCATGCTTCTTCCAGCCGCCAAGCAGCAGCACTCACAATGAGCTCTGCACATCGCGATGCTGGCATGCGCGAGTCCTGGGAGGAGGGAATGGGAGGAGAGACGGAGGGCTAGATGGAGGGGAGGAAGGTCGAGGAGGCATGAGCAAATCCACCCAGTTCACCCACTGGCTCGCCCGCCCACCCACCCACGAGGTGACTTTTGAGTCGACTCAAAAGTCCACCCAATTCACCCACTGGCTTGCCCACCCACCCACGCAGTCCCCCACCCACCCACCCACCCATCCACCCACCCACCCACCACCCACCCGCCCACCACCCACTGACCCAACCAGCCCCCGACTCACCTTTTCGTCTCCCCTAGAGGCTGCACCAACGGCTTGATCAGCACATGGCTTCGATGCGGATTTGATCGACCCCTCAGCCGAGCCTTCTGTGGCGATCACCCCTTGAGGCGTCTCGAGACTCAGCACACACCTACCCAGTCCCCCACTCACCTTCTCGTCTCCCCCAGCAGCAGCAGCAGCAGCAGCACCAACGGCTTGATCAACGGATGGCTTCAAGGCGGATTTGATTGCCCCCTCAGCCGAGCCCTCAGTGGCGATCGGGCCAGGGCACACGAGCGTGACGGCCACACCGTGCTGCACCGCTTCGTACCGCAGCGTGTTGAAGTACCCGTGCAGGGCGTGCTTGGTGGCGGCGTAGACGCCCTGCGTGGGCGCTGGGAGCTTGCCTGCTGCACTGCTCACCTGAGTTAACAGATAGATAGTGGGGGGTAAAGGGGAGGAGGGGAAAGAAGGGGAGAAGCATGTTGAAGTACCCGTGCAGGGCGTGCTTGGTGGCGGCGTAGACGCCCTGCGTGGGAGCTGGGAGCTTGCCTGCTGCACTGCTCACCTGTTTTGGAGGGAAGTGAAAAAGAGTGGAAGGGTGAAGGGGGGGAGTTGGAAGGGAGGGAAGGAAAGATGAAGTACCCGTGCAGGGCGTGCTTGGTGGCGGCGTAGACGCCCTGCGTAGGCGCTGGGAGCTTGCCTGCTGCACTGCTCACCTGTGTTGAGAAAAGGGAGGGTCACGGGGGGAGTTGGAAGGGAGGGAGGGAAAGAGGGAGTACCCGTGCAGAACGTGCTTAGTGGCGTGCTTGGTGGCGGCGACTTTTGAGGCGCCTCAAAAGGCGTGCTTGGTGGCGGCGTATACTCCCTGAGTGGGCGTTGGGAGATTGCCTGCTGCACTGCTTACCTGTGAAGGAAGCGGGAAGAAGAAATGGGACGGAATGGGATAAGAGTTCATTAACTTGCTCGTAATGCTGCAACTTATGCAACTTCCAAACCAGACTAGGTACCCCCCCCACCACCACCAAAACAAAAAACAAACAAACAACCTGGCACAGATGACTGTTCCATAAGTGGCACTGGGAAACTCACCACGAGGACCTGCCCCTTGTTGCGCTGCATCATGCACGGCAGCAGGTAGCGCGTGAGCTCGATAGTGGCTACCACGTTGACCTCCAACATGCCCTGATGGGGGGGAAAAGGGAGAGAGGGAGGGGGAGGGGGGATGCAGGCAGAGGGAGGAGTGGAACAAGGAGGGGAAGAGAGCGAGGGGAGGTGTAACGCGTGAGCTCTATGGTGGCCACCACGTTGACCTCTAGCATGCTCTGAGCTGATGGGGGGAGAGGGTATGGGGAAAAGAGGAATGGGGTACGGGGATCGCAGCAGGTGACACATGAGCTCTATGGTGGCAAGCACGTTGACCTCTAGCATGCTCTGAGCTGATGGGGGGAGAGGATGCAGGTTGCAGGAAGAACGGAACGGGGTGTGAGAGAGGGGACTGCGCTTATAACGAGGTCCGACAGGTGGCTTGGTCTGTGCATACAACAGGATGCGAGGGGGATCTCGCTCTGTGATTATAACGAGGTGGGAGGGGACGGCTTACCCGGAGAGTGTCCTCTGGAGTGTCTTCACATGTGAGCTTCTGCATGTGGGTACAAGTGCAGGGGAAGGGGGACAAGTGCAGGGGAAGGGGGACAAGTGAGAGGAAGGGGTTTAGGTGGATACAAAGGCGGAGAAGACAGAAGAGGGGAGAGAGGAGAGGGAGTACATATGACTGGAGAGAATTGAGGAGGAAAGAGACCGCGGTAACAACAGTGGTGAGAGGGGGGAACTGGGAGAGGGGGGGACTGAAAGAGGGAGAGAGGTGTGTGTAAAATTGGACACTCACTGGGCGCGGATGGGCAAAATTCAGAACCAGAACGTCAAACTCGCACGCCCCTCCCCCCAGCTCGCACACGAAACCTCCTTCCTCCTTCCCCATTCCCCCACCCACCCCCCTTTCCTCCTTCCCCGCGCCCACCCCCCTTTTCCTCCTTCCCCACCCTTCCCCCCCCCCCCCCCACCCAAACCCTTTCCTCCTCCCCCACTCCTTTCCCCCTCCCCCTTTCTCCGCCCACCCATATCCGGGATTGACGACTCACCGGCCGCGGATGGGCAGCATTTAAGACTAGCACGTCAACCCCGCACGGCCCTTCCTCTCCGCGCGCCCCCTCCCCGCGGAACGCGCTTTCCGCCTGGCGCACTGCGCCGCGCAGCACGTCCGCGCCCCCCTTGAGGTCGAACGGCAGCACCACCACCCCCTCCGGCGCGTGCTTCCCCCGGCACGTCGCGCGCACCACCTCCAGGCGCTCCGCGGAGCGCGCGGAGAGAATCAGGCGCGCACCCATCGCCGCGAAACGCTGCGCCAGCTCCTGGCCTGTTAGAAGGACGGGCGCAGATGGGGGAGCGGGGGGAGGGGGAAGGGGGAAGGGGGCGGGGGGAAAGAGGGGGGTCGCGCGGAGGAGGTGATCCGGCCGTCGCGCGGGGGGGTAGGTAAGGAGAGTAACGAGGGTAAGGGGGTGGTCACAGAGCGTAACGAGGATAAGGGGGTGCTAAAGGGAAGGACGGGGATTTGGAGTAAAGAGAATGCGGGGACGCGAGCCAGGGCATCGGTGGGTAAAAGTACTCAAGGACACCATTTGACTGGGACCGAGTCTAAATCACACCCACCGATGCCCTGGCTCGCGTCTGTGATTCACACCACCTTGTCCTCGAACGCGCCTTGGGGCGAAGAGAGTGACACAACGTGAAGTACTAAAAATACACCAGGACTAACACTACACCAGAGCCACACTCACCGATGCTCTGGCTCGCGCCCGTGATCCACACCTTGTCCTCGAACGCGCCTTCGATGGTGTGAGGGAGACGACTCGAAAGACCCAAAATATTCCTGGGCTGGCACTATGCCTAAGACACACTCACCGATGCCCTGGCTCGCGCCCGTGATCCACACCACCTTGTCCTCGAACGCCCCTTCCGGCGGCGGGCCCTTGAGGAGCAGCGTCAAGTCCGCTGCGGTAGCGCGGAGAGCGCGCGGGGCACGTGATACGCGGGAGATGAGGGCGGGATGAGTGGGGGAATGCGGGGGAGATGCGGGGGAGCGGAGAAGATGGGGGGGGGGGAAGGGACATGCGTGGGGAGACGCGGGAGGGATGTGATGAGGAAAGGAACTACGTAAGCCGGAAGTAGAGTGACGAATAGCGAAGGGGAACTGATTCTGGTGAACTCAACAACAGATGCTAGCGCTGTTATTAGCCGCAGAGCTTTCTGAACGCGATCTTGTCACGCAGAAGAGTCGAATGTCCACAACGAGAAAGCGGACGGTCACACGTCGGACGAGTGGACGAGAAGTCTCGTTAGCATTAGCAAATGAGAAAGCGGACGGTCACACGTCGGACGAGTGGACGAGAAGTCTCGTTAGCATTAGCAAATGAGAAAGCGGACGGTCACACGTCGGACGAGTGGACCGAGTAGCACAACATGTGGCGCAAAACTTGTAGCACGGGAGGTGAAAACGACGAGGATTCGCTAGACAACGAGGTTCTAGAACGAGCAAAGTTATCACCACTACAGTGTGAACTTCCTGCCGTAATTCCTGGGGAAGACGACAACGCCGCAGGGGATAAATAGAACGAGCGGCACGAAAATTAGGAAGCTCGTACCGTCCGCGGTAAAGAAGAAGACGATACGCCAAATAAACAGGAAGAGCACGAGCGCCGCCGTGGCTACGCTGGCGAGAACGATTGGATCCGACGTGTCCATGATCGTAGATAACGTCGTCAGAGCTGACGTGTCCATTGGCGAAATTGCCCAGGGAACTACCGTGTATGATATAGTACTACTATGGCAGTACGAACTCTCGAGACTTCTTACTAGACGTTGATCTTAGCGTATTGATCTAGCAGTACTGAAGTCAGAAACAGTAGCTAGTGCGTCGATCAGATAGGGGAACCGCGGGTCTCGCGTCTCAACTCGTAAGCCCGCAACAAGCTTTTCGATGGAGGTGCCTCAGGCTACGTTGGTCTGTTCGGTGGAGCTGTGAGCATGGATCAATCTCAAATCACCCACCGAACAAACTCACTCATAGACGAACTAGGTTCTGTAGACCTCACAAGCTACTTTTGAGATTCCAAAAGTGAAGAGACGAACCAATCAACCCAACCCAAAAGAAAGAAATTGCTGTTCCGCCGATGCGTTTCTGGCGGAAACCGCCTTCCACCCTTCCGCGAGCACATGCATTCTCGAGTGAAACGCCCGACCGCCTCCAGTCTTGGGGGAATGGGGGAGAGAAAGCATGCCCCTGGAAAAAGGGGAACGGGCGGAGGGAATCCCCCTCTTCCCCCTCTCACATCCACATCACAATGTCGGTTCGCGCTGCTCCCTGGGTGCAGTTCATCCGGTTCGGCGCAAACAGGCTCGGATCGAATCGGTTGGTTTTGGAAATTGATCGGGGGACTCGACTAGATTCGAGAGACTCGCTCGGCGCGGGCCTGTCCAACGGAGGTTGCGGGGAGGGGAGATGCGCGTGCTGCGCGGAACATGTGCGAAAGAGTCGAGCGGGCAGCTGCGGTGGAATCGCACAGGTGGGGTTTTGGGGGATGAGTGGGTGAGAACAGAAGGTTCTTTGCAAGTTCCTCAAGGGTAGACAGAAGTTTGGGACACCCAGCCCGTAGTGGCTTCTCTCACTGTTAACCCTCTAGCACCTTAACCAAAATGACCCAGACCGGGTTTGGCATAAATACTATTCCAGTCAGGGAGTAAGGAGAACACACTGTTGTGACTGACCCTCCTGGATTTCTTTTCAATTCGAATTGATGGACGAAACGTATAGTTGGGCTCGTAGTGGACTGCTCTGCTAGGGTATACTTGCTATGGGAAACTCCTGTGTGTGGCTATGATGGACTGCCTTCGAAACGCCATCCCAACCAAGGGTGGGTGACAAAAGCAAAGCAGCCCTTGGCAGTGATTTTATGACCTGCCGTGCGTGGGGTGAATGTGTGACAGCTGTTCGGACCGATGTACATGCTGTGCGTGTATCGTCTATGACGTGTCTGTCTCGACCCGTATCGCGTACAGTACAGTACAAGACGCAAAATCATGTTGGGCAATGGCCACCACGGCGCGGGGCAACCAATCAGCAAGTGGTCGAGGCTTGCGATGTGAAGACGTCAGTCACTGGTCCAATCAATGATCGACGCAACAGTAACGAATGGGCCAATGGCAACGACATGGCATGCTCTTATATCGCGCGAGCCGCAGGCCTACATCCAGAAGCAGTCCAGTTTCTGCTGCCTATAACGAAAAGTATGCATGATTGATACATGGGCTTTCTCGAGTGTTTCTAGTGTTGCGATGGATCCTGGACTAGCGTTGAACTTTGATCAGATAAGGAAAAACACATTATATGGTGGAAATGAATCATTAAATACTTCCGTAGTGTAATTTATTTAAATTATATGGTTACATATAATTCCTCGCTCCCGCGCACCACCACCTTCCCTTCCCCTTCCTTTTGGCCAGTCTCCCCCCGATTCCGCCCGTCCCCCGACAGTCAATTCCTACCGCTCTCCCGTTTGTAGTAACCGACTGCAGACGTTTCAACTGCCCATTCGGCAACCCACCGTTTATTTTCGGGCACGCCAGCATTCACGTCCGGCTCTTTCTGTGGGCTGGGAAACTACTCTGGCGAATTCCGTGGCGAATTCCGTGGCGAATTCCGTTTCAGCGGCAACCGTCCCGTTTCGTTACGTCCTCCCCGACTGGACGTGGTCTTTGCGAAGAAGCGACGCAAGTAGCTGAACTGTGCGCTTCTGCCCACAATTTCTTCCGACCACAGCTCTTCCGCCTACAGTCCTTCCGCCTAACTGCTTCCGCCTGTACCTTTCCAGGCCCAGATGTTTCCGCGGGCAGTCTCTTCCGCCTTTACAGTACTCGAATGGGATGGGACTTTCAAAAACGGTCACCACACAAGTCGTCTCCCCCGTTTGAGGCATCCTCCAAGGTCCTGCTAGGTTCCTCCGATTCTCGGGTATCTACGCGGCATTGCTCTGATTCCTCTTCACTACCGCTAGCATATTCTCCATCCTTGCATATTTCGGGCTTACAATTCCTCAGGCAATTTTGTTCTACCGCCTATCGTGGAGCGTGCACTACACCTATCCTGCGATAATTCCACACCCCCTATCTTCACGCCCTGGGGTACCTACCCTCGTAAGAATCTGATTTCAAAGGTAGTTAGAAACGAACGCGGGAGTTTCGAAGGTAATAAGACACGACCTCAATGCGAGTTTAACACTCTAACATTATGGCACTGGGAATTTTCCCCGCTCACCCTGATTACAAATTAGAGTTTCGAATGGCCAGAACCTGACGGCTCTTTACTGATAGACCCGTAGTGTCAGGGTGTCCGTCTCATCGATCCTCAAGCCGTATAGGGTGTCTGGCAAAAACGAGGGTAGGGGGTGTGGAAATACCGGAGAACAGGTGTATTCCTGGGAGACGCTACGTTGCGTCGCTTAGTCACACTGACCTTGACTTAGGGCGCGTGTGATCAAAGTTCGAACTTCCCAAAGTTCGAACTTTTAGAAAGGTTCTACACGGTAGGATACAATTGAGCGATGTCTCTCCACGATGCAAAGCGGTTTGAGTTCGAACTTTGACAAAAATCCTTGGATCACACGCGCCCTTAGGACTGAAAAGAGCGGTCTCTTGTTTTATTTTGTCAAATTGAGGACTTCGGAGCAGATGAGATGTGCTCTCGAATGATAAGACGGCTGGCTCATCTTTTCAATTTCCCGTCAATGTCTGAAGCTGAGATTGACCACGCATAGTTTAGGTCGGGAAGGACCTAGAAAACAAAAATTCCGTAGTATTTTTGTAACTCTGGTACATTTGTAAGTCGTAGAAATAAGCATAGACCAGCGGTACACGGACAGTTCAGGCCAATTGTCCAGGCATTGTCTAGGTCAGAAAGGAGTTATTGCTTTCCGTATTTATTCACTGACACAACGACTATACACGCTACGCCACGAGCACTATCGCATCACTGAGCGAACTCTAGGTTAGGAACCAGGAGGAAACCAGCAGCATGGGTTCGTGCTTATCGAAGCAGCAATCGAGCAAGCAGCGGCCGCCTGACGCGTCCAAAGCACCGCCGGCCGGTGCCGACGCAGCTCAGACGGCGCCGGCTGCCGTGCACGCAAACCCGGCAAGTAGAGATGAAGTGAAAGCTGCCGGACCGTCAAGTCCAGGGAAAAGTGGAAATGAGGGATCCTATGGGGTCGGAGGAGCAGCAGCGGGAGGCGCTGAAGCAACAGGAACAGCAGCAGAAGGAGCAGGGACAGCAGCAGGATCGGATGCAAATGCAAGTATACCAACAGGAACATCTGCGGGGAAAGAAGCGGAAAATAACGCGGGTGCTTCTCCCGTAGTTGACGGAGCCGCTTTACAATTCGCGAAGTACGACAAGAACGATACGACTATTCCGTTAGGGTTGCGAACAGACTTCGGCTATAAACGGGATTTTGAGGCGCATTATAAGCTGGGCAGGGAGTTGGGTCACGGGCAGTTCGGCACGACGTACGAGTCGATTCAACTAGCCACGGGCGAGCGGGTGGCAGCGAAAGCGATCGAGAAGAAGCAGGTGCGTTGTAAGCAGGCGTATGATGAAACAGGTGAGTGTAACGAGGCAGGCGTATAATGAAGCAGCTGCGTGTAACGAAGCAGGTGCACAGAGCGAGAGTGAAAGAAGCGAGCTGGGTCAGTTATGAGTCAATCATTCATTCCGGCGCAAAAGTGGCAGGTGCGTATGCGAAGGAGGTGCTCATAACGAATCAGTGCGTATACGCGAGTGCAGGTGCGTATACGAAAGAAGTACTAATAACGAATCAGTGGGTACACGCGAGTGGCATGTTTCGACGTGTCTCACAACGATTAAAAAGGAGAGAATAATAATGTATCGAAATGTAACCTCGCTTCCCCCCACATATCTCTCCCACCACTCATCTCTCTTCCACACTAGCGGATTAAACTGCCTATAGCAGTGGAGGACGTGCGGAGGGAGGTGGCGACTCAACTGCTGTATGAGATAGCAGCTGCTGTATGTACATAGCTCTTAACCCCAATCTACCCTTCCACCCCTTCCCCACTTTTTTCACCTGCTTTTCCCCCCATCTTCCCGCCGCGGATAAAGCTGCCTATTGCAGTGGAGGACGTGCGGAGGGAGGTGGCGATCATGAAGCTGGTGTGAAAAACGCAGCCCTCAAACCCATCTCTCAAACCCATCTCTCTCACCGCTCAACTCTCCCCCACCCCAAACTCACCAGATGAAGCTACCCATAGCAGTGGAGGACGTGCGGAGGGAGGTGGCGATCATGAAGCTGCACGTTCAGCACAGGCCTCACTGAACCATCATCCCCATCCTCCCTCCCGCCCCCCCTACTCTGCCCACTCTCCTCCCCCCTTCCACCTCCTACCAACTCTCAGATGAAGCTGCCCATAGCAGTGGAGGACGTGCGGAGGGAGGTGGCGATCATGAAGCTGCTGTCGGGCCATCCCAACGTGGTGCAGTTTATTGACGTGTTTGAGGACACCGACTTTGTGTACATCTGCATGGAGTGAGTGCACTGCACTATAGCGGGTACGGAGTGTACTGAAGTACAGTCTGTTGACGAGTTCGAGGACACCTAATCTGTGTACATTAGAATGGAATGAGTGCGCCATAAACGCATATTCCAGACTAAAATCTCCACTATCGTACTACCGAGTCCCCATCCTCTCACGTCATTCCCACCGCCCTC